ATAACCTCTTTGATATTGTTATTCTTTTTTTGTTAAAAAAAAAAAAAAAAAAAAAAGCACTACCATCTATGATCTGGTGTGTCTCAGATCCAAGAGGGAAAATTCTGTTTGAGATGCTGACTTTGAATATTATGCTCATTAAGGTTGTTACTCAGTGGAGCATGCAAGCATAAATATACCCAGAGAGCTTTTTTTTCTTCTTTTGTGCATTGTTTAGCTTTGCAAACAGCTCCCACACATACAAACGCATGCTATGTTAACATGATACTTCTGGGTTGTTATCTAAACTGGAATATATTAGACTGATTTTTTGGGAGGCAGGGGCTGCTTAGGGTTTATTGTTTTCTTGATCTCCGCATGAAATCAATCTGCTTTTTGGACAATGTGGAATTTCTTCACATTTGTTCTTAAGGATGATTTTTTTTATGGCTACATGTAGGCATTTGTTGGAATAGAGAAAACTAATATGGAATTTATGGTAAATATTTTCAAGTCTTTAGATGGAAGTAAGTGCTTTGTTTGGCAATGAGCTGTGTACAGTCCTGCCATAGTAATGTGTGTGCAGTTGTATGAAATTCATGTTTTCCAAAGAGATTTCCTACATTTTTGTGTATATAATCTTAATTGGATGGTACACTAAGTCCTCTAATACTTTGTTTTAAACCCTGATATATATATCACTGTATAAAAACACTTCTCTTCTACACCTACCCTGAATTTGCAATTCATAAAATATAAGTCTACTGTTGTCCAGGCTTTTTCAAGTGCATGTTATCCCGTGCATAATTCCCCTCCCCAGCGAACTTTTTGGTCCAATATTATCATAAGATTGAATTTAAATTTTCCTTCAACTTCTGTTCCTTTTTTCCCCCCGACATTCCTTAAAGCCCATAACCAGCAAAGTGCTCAGGTATGTGTGCAATTTTAATGGGAAATGTAGTATCTAAAATAGTTAATAGGACTGAAGTACATGAGGAATTCCTTTTCACTGTCATTTTCCAAAGCTCTTCAAGCAGTGATGAAAAGATTTTCAAATTTGAGAAGCCTACTGAGGGAGGTCTGCCAAGAGACATTTCCTCTTGGTGTAAGGAGAGCTTGGATAAACGACTTGTCTAATTTCACGTATATCGGAAGTAAGACGCAGGTCTGTGGGCTTCTGCTAATGTCCCTGGCAATCCGTTGACCACTGATGGTCATTTGATGGGTTTGAAAATTGTTTGTGTGGTTTCTAGTAGTTGCTAGAAATTAATTTGTATAAGCCATACTGATTTTTTTTTCTGATTTTGGTTACTATCAGAATTCAGAATTTTCAGTACAATTTCTTGTATTGTTATCACACTTTATTTTGTTGTATTTCAAGTTTCATTTATTTTCTGACGTCTGTTTTACAGGTTTTTTTACACACATTCTGTTAGATGAAGCTGCGCAAGCTATGGAGTGCGAAACTATTATGCCTCTAGCATTAGCTAATAAAAACACAAGAATTGTCTTGGCTGGAGACCATATGCAGGTAAGAGCTACAGAATTTTTGAATGTGAAGTCCGTACATATAATATTTCTATTTATATATTGAAGGTATTTATCTGCTCCAAATTTCTGTGGTACGTGAATACCTCATAAGCTCTAACATAGACTCATAGTATTTCTGCTAAGTGCGAATGTGCTGTTGTCTTGATTTTACGGTAAGGGAATTGAGGCACAAAGCATGCGAGTTGTCCAAGGTTACATAGGAAATCTATCATAGAACAGGCTTGGGCCTGCTCAGCCACCAATCAATATGCAAGTAAAATTTATTTTTGAAGAGGGAGATGCACAAATTTTACCTGTCGTAGATGGGGAAGCCAAGGAAAATTCAAAGGATGTTACGTGCATAAGATATGGGGCTGATTATTATTACAGTCAGGGTAGGATTTTCTCCTACTTTTTATTACTGGTATTCCCTGTTGGTTTCTGAAAGAATTGAAGAATATGGAGAATGTGTATTAAGATTTAGACAACTTTTTTTTTTTTTATTAGAAGCATCATGGTCTGGTAAGGGTTTGAACAAGTAAGAAACAGGAAACAGAAACTGACCAGTGCCTTGATGTTACTGCGATGTGTGTAGGAATTGCTTGGCTTAAAGATTTATCTGGTTTTGTATCTGTTTTTGTAGATTTGCCTTTAATTCTCTTGACATTTTGCAGTAGCAATAGAGTGGGCGTTTACTTTGGTATAGTAATAAACTTAGAGTAGTGTTGCCACCTATGATTTAATACTACTAGATCATTTAAAGTCATGATCCTGGCAATTCCAGGGACTGGGATAGTGCTTTTTAAATACAGATCTCAGAAGCGCTTTTTAAGAGACTGGAATTCTTACCACTTCAGGCTATGTCGCATCAGCCCAGCTGGGTGGCTAGAGTCTTGACTTGGCCTGTGCGTATCGGGCTACGTGTGTAAAGAGCTGGTTTATAGCTCAGTTTCTTACAGAAGCTACTCTATGAGGTATTCAGTATTTACATTTCTAAAACTAATATTTATCTGAAGTGAAACTCAAACTCAGAATCCGAAACATACGTATTCAGAATGACAAAATAGATTGGCGTAATTTCCACATGTTGAAACTTTATTTTAAAAATCTGTTTTTGTCATCTTTTGTTCTGTTTTTTTTGCTGTAATAGATTATGTTTTTATTGTTAAACAAACAGAGTAGTAGTTTAGTATAATAGTAACTAGGCCTCTTGGGGTTTAGTTCTTCCAACAACTTTCTATTTAACTTTCAAAAATTGTGTTACAAGTTATTACACTTCCTCATCTGTACTTTCTGTGGTAGTAACTGAACGGTCAAGTGCGTGTCAGAGCAATTGTGTAATGTCATTCAAAAGACAGTTTTGGGTGTGGGTCGTCTCCCCCCAGCTCTCTCCTGTGACTTATTCATCTGTGCAAGCTGTAAAGAAAAAACTTAGATATAAGGGTTCTTCTCTCCTCTTTACATAGTTGCTGAATGTTTTATTGTTCCTTTAAGAGCACGCTGGTCTTCTGTCACTTTTGCAGTAGGAATGGGCATTTCTGTGGAGTAGCCATGGTATATGTCTTCCAACTATAAATGTACAGTAAAAGTAAGATTTCATTTTTGTTTTGATGCAAAATACATATGTTGGGAGCATGAAATTCCAAGTCTACATATTTAGTTACACTTTCTTTGTATGTGTGTGTCTATTACAGCTCAGTCCTTTTGTCTACAGTGAATTTGCCAGGGAAAGAAACCTTCATGTTTCATTGCTCGATCGGCTCTATGAGCACTACCCTGCAGAATTTCCATGCAGGATCCTGCTGTGTGAGAACTATCGCTCCCATGAAGCTATCATCAAGTAGGTGTGAACTTTTTCACTGTATCATGCTTTTGTTTCATCGATGTAAGTGAACAAGTAAAGTCTGAGCCAAGCACAACTGGATGGAGAGAGAAGCATTGTGTGTTTCTTGAGTTGTTTCAAAGTTAATTCGTGGAGTAATTGTTTGTTACGAAGTTGAAACTTGGTGTCCTGGAACAGGCAATGGGGTCTCAGTTAGGCAGTTATGTTACAGAACCCTCCTTCGGGTGGGGATGCTTTGGCTGCCAGACTTGCACAGTAAGTGAAAGAAGAGCTAACTGTCCCTTTTTAACTGTTACGCAGTATATTATGCAGGGTCTGTGTTTCTTTGTTTCAGAATTTTAGAATTACTGGGGTCGGTTAGCTTGGAATGGTAAGCTGTGAACAATGTAAGGAACGTATGGATATACAGCTATGAACAGGAAAAAGATAGGTCAAATTTTGGGCATGTTTCCTTCCCGATGACTTCTTTTATTACTTCTTTCAAGACACATTAATCAGTGGGTTTGCATTTTTCCACTATGATAAACTAATGGCTGCTAGTATAATGAGCTCATCCATGAGCTGTGCTAGAAAGAATAAGTGCAATCATGGGGAAAAATGCTGAAGTTTAAATCCTGGCTCAAATATGTACTGAGGAATGTTATGATGGTATCCAGTCATACTAATTAGGTTGTCACTATGTTCAAAGGAAAAGCAGAAATATTTAAGTGCTCTGGGAAATCAAAAGTGAGAATGTAACATATTTTGTTACACAGCTTGATCTGTCGTCATTTTGTGGACTCTGTAATTATAGACTGAGTGTTGCTAAATTTCTTACACATTTCTTGAAATTGTAAGTTTGAAATGAGAGAGAATCTGAAAAGAAAGAGATCGTTTCAGCTTTTAGTTAGAGATTGCTTTCCTGCAACTTGCCTCAGAAAGATCGTGAAGATTCACTTCAGCAGTTGGAGTTCAGACAGTGAGCTCCTGGAAAGATCCGCTGTGCTGGACACTGAGGTAAGGAGTGCAGAAATGCCGCTGGGGCTAGTCGGCTGTCCAGTGGAAGGCCAGCGTGCCTGATTCCACTGGAAAGTATTGCTGTGGGAAGTGAAACCTGCTAAATACTCTGGTGGCAGTTCGTTTAGGAGATTGTCATGGAATTTCACCTGACAAATGGGATCATGGCACTTAAGACAGAAGTGAGTGTAGGAAGATGGTTCATGGTGGGCTCATTAATCACACCTACCTAACTGAAGAGACCAAGAGAAATTAAGGAAAGAGCAAGCCATTAGTTCAGCCTGACTGTGGAGCTGTAATTGGAAAGAACAGTCCTTGTAGAAAGGGTGTTTTATTGTTTAATGAGAACTCATTACTAAGAATTAATTTGCAGAAGGAATTGTTGGTTTTGCTCATTGGCAGCAGTGGGCTGCTGTGACTCCATCTACAGAAGAGTTGTGTGTTCTTCAGGATTGTCCAGTGTAAGCCAGTTCTGGCCAGTAGTGGGCTGCAATTGTTTGGTGATGATTTGGTAGCAGAGTAGTTGCTTTAGCTTTCCCGTGACCAGTTATTTACATCTTTGGCTACAATAGTTGGAAGCCTGGAAGAACTTGGTGGGCCCACTGACTGCAGTCTCCTGCTTTTGTTATCTGCATGTCAGGCTGCGCTCATGTTACTGCATCCACAGAGCTATAGCCAAAGAACAGTAAGGTTGGAGGGTGAGCATTCAAAAGTTAGATTATGTCAGAATTCACTGATTAATGAAAGCCAATACATGAGTTTAGCTCTACTGTGCATGCAAGAGTATACAGTACTTACACTACTACTGATAGTAATCTACAGTTTCTTTGCTGTCTTTTTTGTCTTTATGCCTTCTTACCTCCTGCTTTTCACCATGAAAGTAGTTCTTGCCTCATTTCTTTTTTCAGTCAGCCAGCTTCTGTAATGCCTGCTGCCAGCAGAGGAGGTGTGTTCTGGTTGTGTTTCTGATGACTAGCAATGTAGATGGGTCTGGAGTAGAAGTCACGGAGGAAAAGCTTGCTTGGAAGCTGAACGCTTGGCCTGCGTTGTGCTCCATACACTTGAAATCTTTAGTAAATTTATCTTCCAAGGTCAACGACTCCTAACTGATACAAGCAGGCTCATTGTCCAGCAAGCCCAGGGAAGAACAGTCCCAGACAGCAAGTGTTCCTTTTGCCCAGTTTCAAGCCACCAACGCTTCTGAGTGAAACATGAGAATGTTAGTGACTCTGTCAAGCTTTAGATCAGAAGAAAATATTGCCTTTGTAGAAAAAGTGTTGGAAAAGCATATTTTTAGTGCCTTCTGCTCCATCTGTAGTATGGAAATATCAGTTCAGAGAAATCATTTGAAGATCCCAAATACTAATCAGTGGTTCTGTTTTCCTTATGATATATTTTGTGATTGCGTATTTTATCAGTAGATTTGGATATTTTATCAGTGGTAGGCTCCACATTTTATTCTATTTTGTCTTGTTACAGTTACACGTCTGAACTTTTCTATGAAGGCAAATTGATGGCAAGTGGAAAGCAGCCAGCACATAAAGATTTCTACCCTTTGACTTTCTTCACAGCACGTGGAGAAGATGTACAAGAAAAAAATAGTACAGCTTTTTACAATAATGCAGAGGTAACTCTTCTTTGGCTTTATTCTTGATTGTTTTCTTAAAGCTCCCCTCCCCCCAAATTTATGGGTTTATGCTCAATGTACGTGGAAGACACAAATTATCCTCTACTAGGAGAGGGGAACATGGAGTTTGCTAAACAAGAAGTAATGAACATTGCAATTGTAGTAAACATTTCCACTAATTTATCTTCTTTTTTTCTTTGCAAATTGCAAGCTGCATATAGTTCTTTCAGGCTCATTCTTCAGAATGTCTTTCCTGATAATTTTTGTGACATTCTGATGGATGTATCTTAGCAACTGAGAGTAACTGCAATTTGAAGTAAAACTTAGATTTCTTTTTCTGTTGTAGAAATGTTCCCACTCAGATAAGAGTACTCTGGAGTAACATTTCATATTTGCTTTAACATTTAGGATCGGTGTCTTAACTATCATGTGCAGATGAGGTTTTTTTGAGTGAGAGCTTATTCTCACTTATTCAGTGTACTTGTTTCACATAGATTTATTTGTATTCTTGACAAAATACTTTCATTCCCATTCCTTCCCTTGAGTTAAAAAAATACAAACAAAACCCACAAACTCAGACAGAAACCAAACACACACACCACCCTCCCCTCAACTTAGTAATACTTTTCGTAGTGGAAGATGCTTTCTTCCAGTCACCTGAAGTTAGGGGAGGGTTGACCCATCTCCTTTTTTCCCCACCAGAAAGATGTCTTAAGAAATGTCCTTGAAATTTAAGAAAAACAAAGCAATAGCACAAATATTCTGAAACTGATGAGGAATTTTAACTGAAGTCAGCTTGTAGTTTAGCAGCAGTGTTTGTTGTGAAGTACTGCAGAGCTGTCTCTGTTTCCCATTGTTGATCATGGTGCAGTTCATTTGATGCACAATTTTTTAAGCTTTTTGTTGTTGTTGTGCTGCACTTGTTATGTATTCTTTGATGTATTAAAATATCGACTTAAATAAGAAGCTCCAGTGACTTCTGGACACATCACTGAAAAAACTGAAGGCACCTGATTACTTTCATTAATCTACTTGAATTGCTTTGCCTTTTAAAAAAAAGTTGTAAAAAACCTAAAAATATCTTCAGTGGCCAAGTAACTGTCTGAAAATTGTGAGTCATTAATAGCTACAGGCAGAAATGAAGGACAACAGCTGCTGAAACACCAACATGAAAAACTGACATTAAGATGATGAGGGAGATTTTTCTTCTGTTTGACCCTTAATGGATGTTTGCATTGGGGCATCTTGTGGTTCATTGGTGCCTATGTTAAGTATTAATCAGGAAAATATGCTTTCCCTTTTTGGTCTTAATTCTGTAAGTTCCCTAGATGATGTTATTTGTAACTACATATCCAGAAGCTGTATACTTTCAGAAAAGCTTGACAAAAGACCTGCAGAGGATCATTGTATTTGTCCTACAGCTTTTACAGATAACAAAGTTAATTCTAATATCCTTTGTCAGTAGAACTAGCTTTTAAATACAGGAGTTTCTGTTGCGAAAAGTTGTATTCAGGACTTGCTCAAAAACAGGCATGTATTTTCACTGCCCTCTAAAGATCTGAAATATCAAAAATAAACTATTTGTGACTTTTTAAGGATCAACAGATTTTTTTTTGCTTGATTTCCTCCTGATTTTTTTCCAATTTCCTGAGTTTTTCTATAACCTGTCCCAGTTTAGATTCATTAAAAAAAAAAAATACACATACTTAAATGAGAGTGTGTGTCATATAATCAGATTTTAGATAGCAAAAAAATTAGCATGAAACAACAGATTTTTAGCAGTTAGGAACTACTATGCTTTATACTATTGTACATACACATTGTGATTTATATCAGTTTTCTTGCTCCTGAAATGTCTGTGAAGGTTCCTAAAATTGCCACTTACTCATCTGAAGAAGAGATAACATAAAGCGAAGAGCATTAAATTTATTTTTAACGCCCCTTTCCCACAGCCAACGATAACTGGATGAATAGAGAAGTAAGTTAAGAATACTTGAGGTCCTTGTAGGAAAGACTGTCTGTCTAGGTTCCATTAGGAGGCTGAGCTAGCATTGGTGATGCTGTAGGAAAACTGCATTCCTCAATTACCATGGTTTAAATAGCTGGATAAATATTTATTGAATGACATGTTGACATTTATGAAATAACCTATTGAACGTAAATGTTAAAAAAAAAAAAAAAAGCCCGAATAACCCCCAAACTTTCCATAAAGTTATTCGGAAATGCCTTCTAGAGTGCGCTCTGTCTGTCCAGTGTGTTGGAACAGGAGCCGCTATGCCTGGCGCTTTCTGGCAGCGGGTTGCCCTCAGCCCGTCTCCTCACGGGAGGAGGTTTTCAGTTTTTACTACTCATTAGGCTTCTCAGGTAGCACACTTAATAGTATTTCATAGTGATGAACTAGCAGTGGATGAATAATCTGGCAACTCCTGATGGTATCCTTTGGACAGGGCTCTGTTATACATACTCTCTTTCTAGAGTTATCAAATGCTAATATCACATACATAAAATCCAGAATAAAAATAAAATAATCCCTATTTGGGCAGTATATTTACTTACAGAAATTAAATTGTGCTAAGAAAGGTCCTACTGCACTTGACATTTTTGTAAGAACAGAAGCATGAAAATTAAGGTTATTAATAGAATTTCCCAGCTTGTACTTTAAAGGTGACATTTTTGTGGGCAAACTTCTATTTCAAGATAAAAAAGGTACTATATAGTAAATACATTGTTTTAATACATGATATTTTAGAGTATCACTCTATAATACAATAGTATTAAGGCTGGTTCAGTAAGGCTGTGTAATACTGTGATATGTAAATGTTTTAGAGCTTTAAAATTCAAATTCTCTTTCCATATCAAAGAATGATCTTCAGTGGAGCATATTTTTAAGAATTCTGACTTTCTTTTAAGGTGTTTGAAGTAGTAGAGCGTGTTGAAGAATTAAGAAGAAAATGGCCTGTTGCCTGGGGCAAATTGGATGATGGCAGTATAGGTGTCGTAACACCTTATGCTGATCAGGTGTTTAGAATTCGGGCTGAACTTCGGAAAAAAAGACTGTCTGATGTCAGTGTAGAGAGAGTGCTAAATGTTCAGGGTAAGTAATAATTACATGTCTCAAAATTATGCTAAGGATGTGAAAAATGTGACTGGTGACGTTAAGTAAGACTTACTAAAATAATCTCAAAATGATCAGAACAAAGCGAGACCTGTGATATAGCCCATAAAAACTGATGTATCAAAACGAAACTTGCAAGTGTGCTGATTAGATGTTATTTCAACGTCGAATACCAAAGCAGTGAACTCATGGATGTGAGATTTATCTTTTTTTCAAATTTAAGTTCAAGCTTGCTTAAAAAATAAATTAATTGAGTGAAAAATGTGAAAAATGATAGATTTTTATTGTAAGGGGAAAAACAGAGTTCCAAATAAAAAGGTAACAAGGCTTTAGTCTCAAAATGTTTTACTGTTTTTTGCACCTGTAAAAGAGACTGTAAAAAGGGGTCCACAAATTAAGATACTTGTTCTTGGGATCACATTGATAACAAGAATTGTGTAGGCATAGCCTGTTGCTAGGTTGCACTTTTAGTCAGTAATAAGCAAAGGAAGATAATAAAGTAACTGTGACGGTGAGTGATGTGTTCTGTTTTTCCATATTAGATATTCATATATTTGAGAAATTTTTAAATATGAAACAAGAATGTCCAGAACTTCGTTTTTGGGTTTTTTTTGGTTTTTTTTTTGGTTAAGGTAGCCATAAAAAAACCCCAAGATTTGTTATTTTGCTGATTGGCAACACTGTAAAGATAATCAGCATTTCAGAAAGTTCTGGAATGAATAATATAAGGATGAAAAATAAGTTTTTTAAAGAGGAAATATTCTTGTAATAGAATATGCTATTTATAGTGCATCTTTTAAAATTTTTAAGTCTTATTATTCTTGCATAAAGCCCTTCATATGAAGGGTAGCTATCAGTTCTTCAGAATATCTAAGTGTGAAATCTGACTGAGAAGTGCAGTGGTCTGATTGTGTTACTAGCAGTAGTAGCTACAATTATCTCAGACAATTGTTTTTTGTTTCATTTTAGGAAAACAGTTTAGAGTTTTGTTTCTCAGCACAGTACGAACACGGCATACGTGCAAACATAAGCAAACACCAATTAAAAGGAAAGAGCAGTTACTGGAGGATTCAACAGAAGACTTGGATTATGGTTTTCTGTCTAATTACAAACTTCTCAACACTGCCATTACAAGAGCACAATCCTTGGTAGCTGTGGTGGGAGATCCTATTGCTTTATGTTCCATTGGAAGATGCAGGTACTCTATATATGTTCCTTAGTTAATCAGGGCTAAGGATGCTAGAAAACCTGTTTGTCTGTGACTGATGGATTTAGTAAAATGATGGATGTTCTTTTAGATGCCAGATAAGACACAATATATTTAAGCCCTTAAAATAATTATATAATGGAATCGAAATGCTTCACCTTTCTATCCATAGAAATAACCATAAAGCTGGTAAAGCATTAGCTGTGTTCCCAACTCTTGCAGAGGCTTGAGTCTGCAGGCATGATTGCAGCTTGTCCAAAGTGTGCTGCGGAAGCTCACCCCTCCGGCAGAGCAGGCAGTTGTGGCCCTGCGTGGACTGAGCGGTGTCAGTCTACGCTGCGTGATTCCTGCCATGCCATCTGCCGAGTCTGGCCCGGAGCTGGAAGCACGGGGTTGTGCAAGGGCTACTCTGTCCCCTCATTAGTAAGTCTTGCTGACAGGAAAGAGAGGGGACGTTTTTCTTCAGTGTTGGTGAAGAATACCACTGCAGAGGAGAGGCAGAGCATTTTAGTACCCTGTATGGGTGGACAAGTCTGGCTTTTTTTTGTTATTGTTTCTTTGTGTTTGTTTTGTTCTGGTTTTGCCTTCGTATCCAGAGTCAGTGTCCCCATGTATAACAACCTACGGAGAAAAGGTGTGAGATATCTACCACCTGGTCATTGATAATGTGTTTATATTGCTCTGACTTTTAGTTGACAGTAACAATTGAAGATCCTTCATTTTATTTTCTAGTGGGTTTTTTTGTATACCTGTTACAATTTTATATATAAATAAAAGCAATATATAATTTGGAGTTAAAAATTCTGATGTAATAGACTATTTTAAACTTGAGTATTGTGGCAGTCATATGAAGGTAGAAGACTTGAAAATAGTTACTCATGTTTTTATGTGTCTTCATGACACTAGGAAAAAACTCGTTAAGATTTGAGTGAATTTACTTTTTATAGGCCTAAATGCAGCAGTGTGAAAATGCTGAGATGTAAACGCTGATGTTAAGGATACCAAGTTCTTGTTCTTCAAAGGTTTCTTTTTCGATGGGAGAGCTGAAATGTTGAGATGATCAGAGATAAACCCTGAGGCTTACTTCTCGAAGAGAGGAAACACTGCGCTGACTACATTATTATAATACAGCTAAAAATACGTATTAGTCAGTTGTTGTATCTGTGTTTTATTCTACTTTCCTGAGCAGTATTCTTCTACTGTATTGAAAATGGATGTGGTTTTCAGAGATTAGAGCTGAAAAAAACCAAATGGAAACCAAACCTTTGTTTACTGCATTTATGAAATATAGCCTGAATACAACCAAGTATCTGCTGGGGACATGTCAAGAGTATCCATACATTAATACAGTGATCTGCTCTAAACTGCTAATAACTTATTAAAAGAGAAATAATGGTTGTGGTTTCAATTCACTTTTCCCATTACTTGCTTGGTTTTTTAGATGTGATCCGGTTTATGTAACTAACTGATGAGAAAGAGCTCTGTGCCTCCCGAGCGCTCGATCCACAAGTGATGAGTGTCTGTTACAGTCTGGTGGTGCAGTCTCTAGTTCATCACCTTGTGCTGCAGAGATCCATGACTTAGCTGTAGAGGTTGCCATGCTGTGCTGACTGAGATTTCTTTTACCACTTATTCAGAAATTACTCTTAGCTGATAAATTTTTCTTCTCTTCCCTACATGGGGGTTCAGGATGTGCTGTCTTACCAAAGTCAGAGAGTTAGTTAATCCCTAGTTAGTCTAGCTGGCAGCTAGGACCATTACTGGCTATCTAACCATCTGTCTAAGTGCAGCTTTTGTTGGAGAAATGACCATGTGCTTTATTCTCTCTGAATCCCAGCGGGGAAGATAATCTCTTAAATTTTCATGTAAAGCCTGAGTGTTGAGGTCTTAAATTAGATACCCAAAGGGCACCCAATTTTCAAATGTGGGGGCTCAGCAGTTTCTATAGATTGCCTTCTTCAAAATATCTGAAATAGGGCATGCAAAAACTTACTAAAACAAAAGTATGGGCTATCAGCATGGTACGTGAAATACAGCCTTGGCAGTTAGGGATTGAGTTTGCCTTTCAAAGATCAGCAGCTGTTTATATATGTATAGCTGTTCAAAATTATAAAACAAAAAGATAATTAAGAAACAAGGAGCACTAGAGCTTTATTAAAATGTATCTCAAGTTTTCCCTTTAATACACCATTGTCTTGTTTCACTGAATAATTGAACATTCACTCTTCGAAAACAGTGCTGGAGGGGCTGAGGCCTACTGCTAGAAAGATGGTTCTTTTTTAGTACAACAGGAGTACAGAAGTCTGAAAGAAGTGACATTTCATTAGGAAAAACAGACCTCAAAAAAGTTTAGAGAGTACTTGAATTTTATAAATATTCTAATACCTGTCAAAATGAGTCAAGACTCTGTAATGATAGTTGTAGAGAGCTTTGTGAAGTATGCCCAGGGTAATCATTAGATTTCTGTGTGTTAGAATTGAACTAGACAGGGCTGTTTTGGCAGACACTCCCTTTAAACTGCAGAGCACACTGTAAGGCAGAGACAGTGGTATTTTATGCTCTTCTTACACCCCGGTACAACTGTTCCGTGTGTAGAGAGACTGCTTGGGGCATTTTAAGCAAAAGTGGATGGGTCTCAGTGGATTTGTGGTACTTGGCAGTACCACAAATTTGGTGACTGAATTGATTAATCAGAGGGAGTTCCATCATTAAAGCATCTCGGTGAAGTATTTCATTTGGTTTTTAATCCTCACTTAAAATCTTGCGAGATATATTTGCCTTGCAGTGAAATGTAGAAAAAGGGCCATCTTGTATCCTGAATTTTAAAAGAGCATTTCTTGCCTATATAAAATCACAACAGAAGATGGGCTTTTAGGGAAAACTGTTTTGAATTCTTAAATACATCAGTAACAGTTCAGTATTCTTGCAAGAAAGACGTTTATTCTTTTTCCACAAAGGGCAGCTACTCAGCAAGATGTGACACTAGTGTTAAAATTAGTGTGTGGCGATCTCTCATTTTCCATGTTAGGGGGAGACCACACTGAAAGGACAGTGCTCGCTTATAGGCCAGACCTTATTACTGAAGGGTGGACTAGAATGGATTGTACTCAAGCAGACCTTTAAGATCGTTGTCTTTTTAATCCTCTTTTTCAATAACTTTTATTACTCTTGATTTTTCTTTTTTTTTAAAGATAACAGCATAACAGCTCAATTAGTTGTTTTTAAAGTGACATTTTTAGGTCTTATTTAAGTACCTTTTAAGCTTAAGTAACTTCACCCAAAAAGTTCCTTTAAGGTTAAAAAAAAAAATTATAGTAAGTCTAAAATTTTTGTTTAGATCCTGCTGTGGATGTTAAAAATGTAAAGACATTTTTATAAGCAATAGAAAGACATGTCATGAGAAGGCAGAAGACAGGTAGGAATGTTCTTCTGTTACATGGTTTAAATAACCCCTCCACCCTCCAAAAAGTTGAATACAGAATTTTCATAGAGAAAGTTATGTGTCATCTGGCAGTTGACTTTCTGGCTTGAAATTTCTTCTATATGTTATAGAAATATCTGACATGCAGTAAAATTTATGGTTTTATTTGTTTTCAACCAGAGGATCTCCAAGGCCCTCTAGGTACTCCTGACGTTAATATTCATGTGAATTAAGTGTTTCACAAGAGTAGTTTTGAGGGTATATCTCAACTTTGTTATTTGTGACATTGGAATTGAATGATCTGCCCAAATTCATAGAATCTTTTTGGCGTCTTCGGGGACTGAGAATCTATATAATCCCTCTGACTCTTTGAGCTATAATAAATTCCATAAATCACATTCTTTCCAGAGTTTTAAGAATTGTGTTAGCTGTGTTAGGTCTTCTAGGAAAAAAATCCAAGTTAGACCTGTCCATGACAGTACTATTAAATGTGATGTACACCCAGTGCTGTGATCTGATATGCATGGACAAACCCATATGCCCATTTTTAAATGACTGGGGAGCTTTGCATTATGCTGTGGGGTTCAGAGGCATGGATCAGGTTGCAGGATGGATGGCTTGATGGGTAAAATGAGCATACAGGAAAAATAAAAATGTCACACAGTTATGTTAAAATAGATTTAAATTTTAACAACAGCCATCAAGTCTTACTCCTTTTTATTGTTTCTAAAAATTGTTCCATAGGAAATTTTGGGAAAGGTTTATTGCCCTATGTCATGAGAATGAAAGTCTCCACGGTATCACATTTGAACAGATCAAAGCTCAGCTGGAAGCTTTGGAGTTAAAGAAAACTTATGTGTTGAACCCACTGGCTCCTGAGTTTATCCCTCGAGCTCTTCGGCATCAGCATTCAGCGAATACCACCAAACAACAGCAGTCACCACCAAAGGTAAAGTTCTACTGATGATGAATTTTGTCAGAAAGTGAATGTAGAAATGCGTTTTGAGAAATTATATAAAAGCTTTATGGAACAAGCTGTTGTTTTAAAATGCCGTCAATGCAATCAGATATGAATGCAGATTCCAGTGGGATCCTCAGCATTTTCAGGTGAAAGCTCTAGACTTGCATTGTAATACAGTATTTAGCACTATAGCTTGGGGTTGTCCTAGCCTTGTTTCCTTGCTAAAATGTGTAACTTGGGTCACTCTGGCATGTTCCTTGACTGTGTTGCGATGACCCTGATGAACTTCAGCCGTGGATCTTAGCCTCAGTATTGATATAAGCCGAATTCAGCCCTCTGAACTAGAGGCAATCCCTGTCCAAGCAGCCTGTGCTCTGACTGTACCCCGAGAAACAACATGTCGGTATAGGCAGTGGCAGGGACTGTGAGGAAATAACCAAATAATAGCCATAATTGATTTGATTCGACCTAAAAGTAATATTTAAAATTCAGGGACTTATGGAAGATAATTGTTTGGTTTTAATTAAAAATATGTTGTAAAACAGTGTATCGCTGAGGTTAGCCCACTGATAATGTCCTTCAGAAGGCAAGATCTCATTAGTGTCGAGAGGGCAGAAAGGTGAAATTATCAGAGAATGGTAATTTTATCAGCTGTTTTTATAAAAGCAGGTAAAGAAGTGATGAAAATACATAGCTTCCTTAGGATGATAAAGAATAATACTATATTTTTGAGCTCTTTTGGAGGGTGATATACTAGTAATTAATTGTATTTTGATAGTTCTTTGTAGTTTATTTCAAAATCATTTGAGTTACAGTTTAATTAAATTATGTTTAGAGATGCAACTAAAATGTGTGTTGTCAGCTTTCTGATGAGTTTTGTTGTACAAGAAGAAAGAAATGTACATATTTTCCATAGCTTTGCATTTTTGTTGCAGACTGTATCATTTAAATAAAATTTTTACGACAGTTTTCTTAACTTTAATAGTGCAAAAAGAAAAGCCTTGCCTTTGGCAGTCCTTCCAATAAGAGAGTTTGTAAGTGAGAACATTTGGTTTCTTCATCAAGATGCATTACTTTAGAAATCTGGTGTTTGTTTCAGAAAGCATCTAGTCATATGTCAAAACACTAAGCTTACAGAAAACCGTAAATTAAAAAATTACTGTCTTTAGAAAGTCACTGCTGCACTCTTAATTTGTCATGAGTGCTTCAGCCTTGAATGCGTTTTCTTTAATAATGGAATATCACTTTTAATATTTTTTGTTTCCTGAAATGAAAGAAAAGTATTTGAAAACACAAGTGTAGTATACTTAAAAAAAAAAAAAAAAAAAAAGAGCTGAGGGAAGTGACAGTCTTGTGAATAGACTGTTCTGTTTATTTTTCTTCCAGTTTGTTAGTAAACTAAACACTTGTGCTGTAGAAATCAGAAGAGACACTTTCAAACTGCCAGCACTGTATTTTCAGCTAAGATTTGAAGTGTTTTAGCCACCTATATCGTAATTATAATAAAATCTGTTCCCTCTGAATACAATCGACAGCTAGCGTGTGTAGTAACAGAAGTCAAGCGAGCAGGTAATACTCAAACACACAGAGAAAATGGCTGTGATAAGTGATATATTTCCCTTTGCTCAAGTTTTAAAAGCAGATGGTTAGCTTTGCTTATTTTAGACCTCCTAAGTACAGCATTTACCATTAAAAGATGAGAGTTTAAAAACCTAGTGCTGGTGTATTTTGTAGGAAAAAAAAAAAAAAGAGAACAGTGTTTTGTGGTGAGCGTATGGACGTCCATGCAGTTCAGGGCTTCTTTTTCACATGTGGTGAAAAGGGATTTTGTAAAAATGATACCTTCTTATTAAGCAGAATTGCCCTTGGATTTACGTAAGGACATTGAAAACCTCTTTGCTGTTTATTTTTTAAAGAAGGAAAAAAGTTCCCGTCCTGTGTGTCTGAGAAGCAAACAGCTAATACGGAACTGACTAGCTGTGGGCTGCTGTGCTTCATGGCAGCCCTGTCTGGGAGGGCATCTGCCTTCACCTGCGTTTGTGTGGCTTGGCTGGAGAGGGTGGAATTGCAGAAGGAACAGCAGAGTTGGATAGGCACAGCCTGCATCGAAGGTGATGATGTGGAACATCAGAACAACAGAACTCTTGAGCTTCCGGCAGGGTAGTTAGCGTACAGTAAATTAGGCTCTGGATTTTACAGCTCTGCCTACCTCCACCTGTGCTCCAGCTTTTCGGCATGGACTCAGGCACGTAATCGGGATGCGTCATTGCCCCAGATACTTTGTACAGTCGGTGAGGACCACAGGTCTGATTAAGTCTCTGGAGAGTACTCTTTTCTCCTATCTGTTGACTTAAGGGGGATCCTAGGACTGATGAGACTGTTAACTGCCTGAAGTCACCTAAATCTTGGTCTGAGTTTCCTCTAAGTGCCTGTATATAATGTGGATTTTTATACTCTGAGGGTGGAGCAAATTTTTAGAGGAAACCGAGTGTATCTGTGCTCCAGCACTCCCAATTGCCATCAGTTAAAGTGTAGGTTTAGGTGTGTGCTAGATTAGTAGGGAAATGAACCTTGATCTGGAAATCTTTGAGAAATGATAACAGTTAAGTCATTAATAGAGTATTGTAAAGTCATTAAGCCATCAAAACTATTAAGAGAAAAAGACAAAGCCAGCACCTTCCTTCCCCAACTTACAAATGGCTCCAGTTGACTTATATTTACCAGTCTGGTATCATTACATGCTGAAGTTCCTGTTCAACAGGCCAACTATTCATATGAATTTATGTGATTATTTACTATTTCAGTTTGTAAAATATGGCACCTAGAAAATACCAGTATGGTAGGTCGAACACAGATTTGTTAGACTTCTGCATGTAACAGCTTGATGCCAACTGACAGCACAACAGACAGAGAAATGCCTTGTACTAACCCTGAGTGATAAAGGCATGTAACTCCTCTACATTTTTAGATTGAATCTCGCTCTCTTTAGTGAATAAACAGATTTGTTTCGTGTAAGTACTGCATTGAAAAGCAATTATTATTTTATTTTTCAATAATTCATTTTTAAAACGAGAGGAGACTTCAGAGACCAGTTCTTTAATCTGGTTTATGCATGAGTCAACATTGTCAAACAGCCTGTCTTTGTGTCCTGACTCATTTGCTCAGACTGCTGGAAAACTGCCTAGACTTCTCTCCTGAGCAAGAAAAGTTTTGCAGCATTAGAGGGTTTTTAGATTTATTTAAAATTTGTGAATGTACTTAGGTCCAGATTAAGTAAAGTATTCCTATCCTGCAAAAGACCTAAGAGCATACCGATATTTGAATATGTGCCCAGAGTTTAGGAATATTAACTAGTTCGTTGATGCTGTAATCTCATGAGCGTGTAGCGATGAGAGCTCGGTGTATTAACCGCCTTACCTAATGTACAATTCACCAAGGAAAAACGGTTTCTCCAGGGGACTCTGATTCTTGACTCTGCTATATTGTGCTTTTGGAGGAGCAGTCGCTGAGAGGCCAAAGTCCAGAAGCAGATACGTGAGATGGGGTAGGGAAGCCATGTCTAATGAGGCTGGTGAGCAGTTGAGTAAAACTGGTGGCAGTTACTTTGTCTCCAAGGTTCTGGGGTTGAAATCTGGAGCAAAAAATGGATTGTGCTTCCACTAAGCCACGGAAGAGGAATACTGAGGGTTACATTAGTACTGGGTGCGGCTCCTAAAAGAAGTGAGACAGCGGGAAATAAAATGGTGAGAACGGACACTCAGAGTAGCTTGCTGCAACTCTGCTTGCATCTGAAAACAGGACTTCAGTGAGGGCATCCCCAGACGGACTGGTAGTGACCCACTGGTTAAATGAATTAGTGGTATTTGATGTCCAACTGTGTGAATTCACAGTCACGTGGTAGAACTGGGCAGTTGAATGTGTAAGGATCAAATGTTGAGCTAACTTCTTTCAAACTTAATTTTGTATTTAATTATAATGTTAACTTGAAATAAAAAGCTCTTGTTTATGTAAGAATGCAAAGCATTACCGTTACTGTTTTTCCCTTTAAAGGGCAAGGTCCATCATCATAACCAGAATGACCATTTCCCACCTGATGGAATTGGTAAGTATCTCTGCTGTTACTGAAGGAGCTCCTCTGAGCTCACACTGATTTGGCGTCAGTGAAGTTGATAGTAATTTGACATAAATTGAGTATCTGGTCTGTTCTCTTATTTGAAAACCACTTACTTGTTGTGTGCATTTAAGAAACAGATTATAGACCGTGAAGTGGACATTAGGTGTTTCCGAGGCTATCCCTTTATAGGTGTTGTGCACACTGACTTTGGAGCCTTCACACAGCATTGTTGTTGGCGTCTTAAAAATGGCTGTGTTTGAAATTCGTCATGTAAAATACTGTACCCAGTGTATTCCCACTGTGAGAGTTAGGACTTTATATTACATACACTGTTCTATGATGTACTTGGAACTTACAGTGTGCTGTCATATATCCAGATATTATTGATCATACTTTGCAAGGTAGCATGCAACAGCTTAATATTTTTTTTATTACTTTGAAAAAGCCTGAATTTAAAGCTTGTCTTCCCTGCTAAGGAAAGGATCATGATTCTAGTTTTTGATGCAGTGTTTAACAGCTACTCTGACTGTCAGCATATTTAATTGGTTTGGGACATTCTTTTCATTAGTGCAGTTACCAGCTGTGTGTTTCACTATATCTCAACTCGTATTTTCTGCCTCTTCAAATTTTTGAAATGGGATATAGGATTTTATTAATTCTTTGTCTCAGTGGAGCAGACCTGTGCTGTTACAGTTGCACACATGCTTTATGAAGATAGATGCTATTACGATGAAAAAAGAAATACATAGTCTTGATATTCTTTTTGTGTATAGATCTTTTTTTGTATGTGTGTGTATATACATTTTTTTTCTTTCATTTCAGTTCAGCCCAATCCTTCTGTTCTAATCGGAAATCCTATCCGAGCATATACTCCTCCCCCTCCTCCTCTGGGACCTCACCCCAATCTGGGGAAATCTCCAAGTCCTGTTCAACGGATAGATCCACACACTGGGACAAGTATTCTATATGTACCTGCTGTCTACGGAGGAAATATGGTCATGTCTGTGCCTTTACCTGTAAGAATTAATTTTCTGGATATTTTTTTTTTTTCCCCCGCTCTTCAATTACTGTATGTACAAAAATGAATGGCAAAATCAGTTAGTGAATATTTTGCAAGCTGTTTCAGCACTTTCCTTCAAATATACGGGCTTAGCTGGCTCTAGGAGCGGCTGTGCAGAGGACCACCAGAAAATGAGGACTTAAAAACATTGCTCCCACAAATCACTCCAGGCAGCCTAAAAGCAATTTCATGTTCATGTAATTTGGTGTGTTTTCTCAGCTCTAGGTTTAGGCACACCAGTGGGATCTGTCTCGTCTGACTTGAGATACCTGCATCTGAATTAATTGCATAGTCCAGTTCTTAATCATTGGAGAGACATAGGCGGTTCAGACAGAGCTTGTTTCTCTTTATTGGCTTCATACAGTTTAAATTACCAGCTTTGGATGTCTGCAGTGCAAGGTGTCTGAAGTAAAGTGATAAGAAAAATAAGCATAATGGAATGTTTTCACTTTCCAGAGCCTCGTAGCAAAACAGTTTCCTCTCCAATCCTTTTGCTTAATGACATTGGAGAACACAATGAAGATCCCTAATCAGGTCTTTTAGGCAACATTTTTGTATGGAATTTTGCGTTACAGATAAAACTGTCTCACCAAAACTAACACAAATTAAAGAAGCAGTCTCTGCTTTATATTTAACCTCCACCATTATCTTCGAGGAGGAGAATGGGGAGGAAAGACCAAAGGCTGCAGAAGTGGTGTTGTGGAGTAACATGTATGTGTTGTACACAACTCCTGAAGGCATGAAGGGCGTGGAACCCACACAGGCAGATGTGGGTAACTCCATTCGTAATACTAAATGTTGGCATACAGTTCATTTTTTTTTTTTTAATAATTATAGAAGTCCTCTATTATAATTTAAGTTACGGATGCCCTGTAGGGAACTTGCTGTAGAAACTCTTGTTTCAGTTGTATGTCTTAGATCAGCTGGCAGCTATAGATCGGTTTTCTTTGCTAGGTCCAGGAATTTTCCTTTTTCCTAGCTTACTAGAAGTCTGCGTTTGATGGATAAATTTAAATGCAGTGAGAAGGCCAGCAGCTGTATCTTTGTATGCTTGCTCACATTATATTAATTTCAAGCAAAGATAATTTTAAAAGTTCTGTCATATCGTTCCAAGGTTAGTAAATTTTTTTGTATTTCCAATCAAAAGAAATACATTAAAAATAAGTGTTTTGAGCTCACCTTCCCTAAGGATGGATTTTTTTAAATAATTAAGTGGGGAGACTGAGGTACTAATGAGACGGCTGCTTTTGAACAGAAGCTTGTTGGAGATTATTTGAGATTGCACAGATGCAGTAGTAGCCTAAAGCTAAAGTTCAAAGGGCACATTTCAAGGGCAAATACTAATTTAGAAAAAGAATTGCATGGAAGTTGTTACACTTAAAACAAGTAGGGACTGAAGTAAAACGTGTTTATGTTCGTGTAAGATAAAGTGATATCTTTGCTTTGTTTGAGGCTGTTTCCATATCCAAGGTAAAAACGTGAGAAGGTTGTCTGCTGTCATCAGTAAAGGACGCTTTGGCAGCCTGAGTGTTGATGATTACTTTGCCTGCACTCTCCTCTTATTCTTTTTCCTCTTTTTAATAAATTCCCTACAGGGTGAGATTGAACGAATCTGATCTAGAGCTGTCTTCCTTTGCATTCCTTTTAGGAATAAAATTTACAATGCTGTAAAAACTCCTGACTTTTTTACATGCTTTCAGGAGGTGGATTTTACTTCAAATATTTAGGAAGATGATCTGTAATACAGGTATCACATAGCATAGACACTTTTGAGTCATGCTTAACATACGGATAGTCTCTCGAATCTCCCAATAGTCCTCTTAACTTCACAGAGTGTCTTGGGGGTGCAGAGGTATGGGGTGCCCACTCATTCTATGTTACAAGGCTACAACCCTGGGTGGTAAAAGGACCCTAAAGAATTCCTCAGGTTAGAGGCTGCTCTCTCTCTGCTCCTCCCCCAAGCCGTAGCCTAATGTCTCTTTTCTCCTGGTAGTTAAAAGGCTTTTTATTTTCTTGAACTTCACCCACTTCTATTTATTTAGAGAAGAGATTAATGTGAAGTTTATTAAAATACAATTTGTCCATCAGTCTTTTCTCTCTGAATTTTGAAACCACTGAAACAAGAATGGATTTTGATAGAAAATATTTTTGCCCAGGGTAATCCTCCAAAACCTTTGCTCTTTGCTGCTAGGCCTGCCCTTATTGCTCTCCCTTTCCAACACCACCTGTAGTTGTGTGTGAAGAGTGTCAGATTATCTGATGCATGGAAAACTGCTTCTTACTGACCTAACATCAGTGTGCTTGTTACTTCCTTTAATGTATTTTAACAGAATAAATTTTTTATTTTTTTTTTTTTTTAAATTATGTAGGTACCGTGGACGGGGTATCAGGGTAGGTTTGCAGTTGACCCTCGAATCATTACTCATCAAGCAGCTATGGCATATAATATGAACCTGTTACAGGCACATGGGCGTGGGTCTCCTATACCTTATGGCCTGGGACACCACTCACCAGTTAGCATAGGACAACAGCAGCAGCTTCAGCATCAAGACAAGGAGCAACATGAACAAAGTCGAAATGGTTAGTTGTTGAAATGGCGTTGCAAATTAGTTTTGAGGGAGTTTGTGCTTTAAACAGGGGATTGTGGAAAGGATTTTTTTCCTTTCGTTCTGTCTTTTAAATGACATCGAGGGATCTGCAGAGTTGGGGAAATAACCTGTGATTTGCCATTACAAATAGAATAACTGAGATGTTGTGAGATTCAGCAGAGGAAGTAATCAAAGTTGGGATGCGTGTGTGTTTGAGGCAATAATTGATCTGTCTCTGTTCTGCAGTCCAGTGGTAACTACTGCTGATGTTACTTGCAGTTCACTTGGAAGGACTGCTTAGTGATGATTAAAGAACAAAGCACAGAGTTAAAGGAAAAGTGTTACTTGTTATCTGGGTAAATTATATTATATGTCTGTGATGCTCTAAATGCTGTACTAATAAGTATAAATTTTCCTGTTTCAGGAAAAAAACCCAACCCAAAATAATAATTTTTTCATTGAAACTAATTAATTCCTTAAATGTTTCTAGGTAAAAGTGAAAACACTGCTGGACCTGAAATCAGTAAAATTCGAACACCTGAGAAGAAACCTCTGGAATCCAAGCAGGTGGGATTGCCTTGTTTAGGTTTGTGGGGGTTTTTTTGTTTGTTTATTCTGGTTTTTAATATTCTCTCTTTTAATGAACTGATTCACTACTGACATGTTTTTTGTTGGGGTTTTTTAATGTGAATTTTCAAAGTTTTTCATTCTCTTTTTCTAGGTTGACTTAGAAGCAAATTCTCAGAATAGAAGCCCAGAATCACGTTCCAGTGTTGGTTATCCTAATGCTAAATTTCATCGCAAAGATAATCTTAACCCCAGACAGCTGAATCTACATCTCACCCCACCCCACTCACAGTATGCAGTTCCCAATCGCCACTTCCAGCACCTGTCACAGATACCGAGGCAGCCATATCCTCTGCAACAGCAGCAAAGCCTTTTAAGTCAACAGCAAAATCATTTGCCTGAGCAACAAAACCAAATGCCACCCCAGCAAAGCCAGGTAGTTCAGCAGCATAATCATTTGAATCAGCAGCCTCCACAACCTTCGCAGCTTTCCCCTGCTTACCAGGCAGGCCCCAGCCAATCTTTCTTTAATAATCCAATTCCCCACCGACCACATTCTCCTGCTGTAGATGCTGTGATTTCAGAACAACACCCCCCACCTATGTTACAAGAAGTCAGTAATCCTTTGAGGCCTATTGCACAGCACAACCCTGTTCTGCCAACCCACTTGAACAACTTCATTGAAGAGAATCCATCAGGAATGCCCTTAGGGGACACTTTAGGTAGGTGACTTTTCTTTATTTAAATTCAGAGTGTGCAATTATAACTACACTCAAGTGAAAATGAAGGAGGTATTTACCTTTTCAGGCATATTGCTCTGAATTGGGTCATTGTTGGGTTAGTTTCCATAAGTAATGTCATTGAGCATAATTTGCTGCTTGAGGCATGTTTGAATATTCAGCACTTTATTAGAAGATTCATGTTTATATGCTTTTCCATATGATTTAAATAACCAGGTTATACACTGCATTGCAGTTAGTATATAATAGGCCCTGGAATATACTGTATAAAAAGTTTTCTTTTTTTTTCTGACGTAAAGATCTTTAAAAAGGGGCATTAGATAAATTTTTTTTTTAAAACTATTTTTATAGATCGTATGCATGGAAATGTAGCTTTGGAAACAATAAGGCAGCAACAACAAGCCAGGTTACAGCAATGGAATGAACATAATGCCTATCTCAGTCAAGGCACTATTCCATATCAACACCATCACCATCCTCATCTACCACATCTTCCTCAGCAACCAATTGGATTGCATCAACAGCAGCAAGTTAGGGCAAACTGGAAACTTGCCAGTAATACAGAAGATGAAACAGAGGCAACATATTCAAGGTATTTGTTTACTGAGTCATCAGAGCTTGTATAAAATTGAGCAGTGGGCACCTATCTGTAACACTGTGATCAAGTGCAAGACACTTAAAGGTATTGCTTTTTGCTGCTGTTACTATGAAGGTTAAAACAGTTGGCAGGCTGACTTACAACTATGTTTTTACTATGTGTTATGCTTTATTCTGTTAGTATATTGGGTAGTAAAGCTGTAGTGGAAGAAATACTTGTATGGAGCTTTTCAGTGCTGTATTTATGGAATAAGGAATGGGTAGAGAGTAACAACCTTGTGTTTGTAAAAGAGGTGTCTGAGTGTAGTGAAGGCCTGTTTAAGTTGTAAATTCTTCAAGCTGAATTAGCAATCTCACATTTATGTGCTTGAAAAGAAACAAACCAACCCCTCCCCAAACACTGCTCCCCAATAAAACCTAGATTTTGCTTCCTTTTCAAAAAGTCTTTGCTTTTAAAAGCAGATTAAGAAAAATGCTTATATTTGAGGTGGAGCATTAGAGGGCAAGAAAGGAAGCTGTTCAACATAAACAGAAAAGTGGTTCCAGTGGTCATCAGCTTTAATCATGTCTATTGTAAAGGCCAGATTTTTAAATTGCTTCTGTTTACTGTCATCTCCCACTATACTTTATTTTCCATCTGGTTTGTTACAGCCATGGTAAAGCCTCTAAATTCTCTCTTATCTGACTCTGTGAAGTGCTGAATTGAATATTCTTGACCTTTTGAAGAAGTTTGGAAGTATATTGTGCAAGTGAGGGGAATCCCTGATTGCTCTGGTTTTGCGTTTTAAGGGGTTAAAATTTTCTTTAACCGTGTGAGTTTTTTACTTTATGTAATAAAGCAGGAAATCCTTACCTTTAGTTGTCTCTTAAGAGATAACAAAAAATTGATTCTCCTGATTGAAAAGGAATCTCAAGAGTTATTAAAACTTTGAGATGATTCAGGTAGGTATTTAATCCAATTAATCCTCTTGTGCCTAATTTCTGATTGCTCACAGCCATATCCTTTGAAGTTAGGGTCAGTAAGCGCCAAGATGAGTATATTTAAATGCAGTGTATGGTGCTTTGAGTTTTTTCAGCCTCGAAAAGAGTGGGATTTCAGCAAAATATTTTTCCTTTTCTTGATGTATTTATTCTGTCAATACAGATTCCAGGATTTGCTCAGAGAACTGTCACACCGTGATCAAAGTGAAAGTCGGGACTTAGCGGAAATGCCACCCCCTCAGTCAAGGCTGTTGCAATACAGACAAGTTCAGCCCAGAAGCCCACCAGCACTCCCTTCTCCTTCCTGCAACTCTAACCACAGCGGTCACTTTCCTAACTTCACTGAAAGCAACAGAGACATTGAAATACCCAGTAACCCAGCGTTTCAGCAGCATTTACCCCAAATATACAATCCCCCTTTCTCAATGCCATCTGAACATATAACCCCATCTCCCTTGAAATACCTGCAACCTGATGGATCGTGGACTTACGCTAACCTACAGCAGAATCACCTTATGGGGCAGGGCTTTCATTATGGTATACCTCCGTTGCCCCATAGGTCGCAACAAAATCCTTTTATACAAATACAGAATCATCAGCATGCAGTCGGTCAGGAGCCATTTCATCCACTCGCATCTCGAGCAGTATCTGCTTCTTCGCTCCACAGCTTAGAAGAGGTAGGCATTTCTGTTTGCATATGCAATCGTTACGTCATTTTAATATCAAGCTATATTCTGAAGCAGTCATGAATGCAAAATACCTCGCACATTAAAAGCTCACACTGGGAATTTCTGTGAGGTAAAAATTTTCCCTGCATCTTCTCTGTTCACCCTGTGGATATTCATGGTTCTCATCACTGCAGGTGTAACATTTTCCCTACTAAATGGGAGGTCTTGGCTTTTTGAATGTTATTCAGACTTTTTTTGCAATCATTGGTCACTTGTCTGCATGTCATTTATCTGGAGTGCACACCCTGGGTGAAAACTCATGAAACAGCTCTCTGGAAAGTCAGCTTGAATCAGCCAGCTAGTTGGCTCAGTATTAAACTGTGAATGTGGTTGAGTTACTTTTCGTATGAACTTGAGACCAGAGCAATACAGTTGTTTCAACGTGGTACAAAATTTGATGTAATAAATCCCACCTGGATGCAGCTAATTCCGTGTAAAGCCATGCTGTGTATTTTGGGGGCTCAGAGTGTTGGAAGTCAGTGCAGAGATACCCAGCTGTGCTGCGTGAATCTGGGTCCGGCACAAACCCTGCCACACCCGAGCTGGCTCCGTCCCTCTCGATCTTTTTGTGTTCTGGACTCTGAGGACATGTGTTATGGGATGCAGACTGTGCAGGCACATACAACTAGGACAGGTCACATTTTGAACAGGAGTTTTTTAATCCCTGTTGGAATCCAGAGTGAATGATATGTAGACATGGAGTGTGCTGGAGCCAGGTTGTATTCCAGGAATGTCACAATTGATATTCTCAGATAATCTTGTACTGACTGCATGTAATCCAATATTTGAACATCAAGTTAAGTGTTTTGTTCTGTGATGCATTTCTGTCAAGGTTTTTGCAGAAGCTATGGGGGTATCCCTGCTCATCAGTATCCCACATAATACATTGTCTTTCAGCTTCTGAAAATAGAAAATATTTAGTTTATGTGCCTGAGCAGAATAACTAAAGTTGAATTCCAGTGCATTTTACAAATTTGTCTTATACAGATCCAGAGAGGTTAATGGAGTCCTCGGGCCCAGCTAGACCTGTAGTAAGGTTTGGTTTTATAGACCTTTAGAAATTCTGTGTCTCGGTCCATTAAGCCATACCACCTTGTATAAAAATCTAATACTTTGTGACAACAGTTAATGCCATCAGTAGAGCGGGACATAGGAACAATGGCTTTTCAGCAGTAATAAACTAATAAATATTCCTATAGAGTTTGTGACAGCTCCTGCTGTCTGAAGACGAATAGAGTGAGCCTTTATGTAATTAGTGCAACTTTGTTTTAGTTCTTATTTCTTCTTCCTTTCAAAATATGTGACAGAAATGCCAAATACAGTATAAGTGTTACAAGACAGAGCTAAGTGAAGTTTCCAAGACTGCTAGTTCAGCTGGTAGGTAGGGCTGAATAAGCAAAGAAATCAAAACGCAGTTTTAGTTGTAATTTTAACAGAGATCTCTCATAAAATACAGATGTCAGGGGAGATGTTACAACTTTTGGTGTCCTTACTAAACTGTTTTCTCAATCACTATTTATAAAGCTGTTGATTGACTTGATGCTTGAAAGGTTTTGCATGTGTTTAGTCAAACCAGGTTTGAACTGTGTATCAAAGGGAATACTGAAGTTATTCTGTCTGGTCGTGTTCTTGCAAGTGTCCAGAACTTTGATAACTTTCCTTCTCTGGAGATATTCAAGACCTGCCTGGACGCGGTGCTGTGCAGCCTGCTCTGGGAGACGCTGCTTCGGCAGGTGGGTGGACCAGATGACCCACAGAGGTCCCTTCCAATCCCCACCATACTGTGCTTCTGTGATAAGTTCCTGATTGCTTACCAAAATTGCCTGTTAAACTCAATAAAAAGTACACGGAAGTATTTTGGGTGTGATTTAGGCAGTGACTTCTGAATTTTGTTTTTTTGTTGTTGAAGAATATCCTCAAGAGAGTAGAGTGACAGGATATCTAAGTGCTGTTCCCTTGATATATCATAGTAGCGTGGCAGGTGTAGTGAGAATTACATTTTCTTTCATGCAGTCTTTTTTGCCTGTCTGTTTTTTCTGGATGACATAGTAACTATTGGGGCATTGCAGCAAGTTATTTGATGTTCATTTAGCTAACTTTTTAAGACATTTCATTCATTAGACTGTTTACTTTTTGCCTTCACCAAGTATAGATTTACTTCTGTGACTTTTCTGTTATTCGTGCTCTTGCTAGTCAGTACGGTGCAGAAGGGACCAAATACTGTGTTTATTTTAAAAAATAAACTGTAATACAACAGACTTGCTTTGAATCTTGAGAAAGTTTAGAGAGTCCTGAAATCTGAACTCTTGAAGCCAACAGGTTAATTAATGGAGCTCCTGCCATTTTCATCTATGTCATCTACGGGGTTCATGGAAGCAAGTAATTTCTGTGGTTTCAGATAAAATTCTCTGCATTATTTCTGCTGAGGGCAAACGCTTCTCCGAAGCATTTCTTTTATATGTACATACACAAAATCCAACATACAAATGTATCATGCTTCCCCAAATCCTGGTACACAAGTCACTCATTTGTCCTTTGGAAACTAAAAGCCATTTTTTCCCTCTTTACATTGTAATTGAACATTTGTCCTTGCTCTTGTATGTTTCTGGGCTTCCTTTGCTTCCTTTGTAAATGCTGGGTATCTTCCTCCTCGCTATGTGATACATCTCCCATGTAGGAGTGTGAGATGTAAAGGTTGATAAGCATTGAGGAATCTCAGCTGATGGTCTTTGGAGTTCTTTTAAAATTCTGTGTCTGTTTTGTGTGGTTAAAATACATTCTCAGTGACTGCAATATACAACATATAACTTGAAGTGTATTAGTTTTTTTTTTTCCTAAATGCAAAGGACTTTTTTTTTCTTTTTTTGCAAGACATTGCAGGGAAAAAAAATGGATGGAAAAATGGTATTTGATACATGCAGTTGAAAAAAAGGAGCAAAAGGCTTTTTTTGTTTTGTTTTCTTGTTCACAGTATGAACCAAGAGGACCAGGCAGGCCGTTGTACCAAAGAAGAATTTCCTCTAGTTCAGTCCAGGCTTGTTCTGAAGAATTAAGCACTCCTCAAGACAGTCTTGGTCAGTGTAAAGAGCTTCAGGACCACAGTAACCCGTCATCTTTCAACTATTCATCACCTGAGTTGTGGGTAAACTCCTCCTCATCTGCCCCATACCCAAACATTCCATGCAACGGAGCCAACAGAGCAGTTCCGCCCCGGGAGCTGTTAGGTAGGTGCAGGCTTGATCTTTGCTTCTCTGCTTTTCTCTCTGCTCCAAGAAGTAGACTGTTTAGGCTGGAGCGAGCAAGTCTCAGGCCTTGCAAGGGTTGAGCTAGTTTTTTTTTTCCTTTTCACAAAATGGTTTCTGCCATCTCTTCAAATCCCAAAATGAATTTAAGCAAAGATTTTTGAAGTATTCAGTTGTTTAGTAGTTAAAGATTTGCCTAAAGTAATCCTGTTTTCGTTTGCTACCTTGTTAACGTTCTGGTACGTGGCTGATGTCTAAAGAATACCGTTGAGTATGCTTCATCTGCAAAAATACTGCAATACTGCTTCTTAGTCTTCTCTCAAAAGTTCTAGTAAACCCATGTCTTCTCTTACAGTGGTTTTAACTGCACCTGAGTTTTTGCTGAAAGGAGCTAAGGTAGCTGGTGGGATGTATCTGCCAGAGAAGATATTTGTTGCCAGAATCAGTGATATTTCTTGTTGATACTACAGTCTAGGGGAGAAACAATAGGAACTGAATTACTGTATTTCCTAGTAAATTCTGGTACTTTGTCAAAGTAATGATGAAGTTTTGACTCTCACCATGGAAGAACCACACTGGAACCCTGGCTTCTGTGGTGGTAGCAGCAGTGCTGATTGATTTAGCAGAGAAAACTAAATTAGCTTTTCAGTGATTAAGAAAAGCTGCAAGCAGAGAGTTGGAACAGTGCAGCTATGCTTCCATTCTCCGTATTTTTTCATGTTTGTGAAAAACAAAAATACCAGGATAGTACAGTTTCTTCTCTGTGGTTTTGCTTTAAGGATCTCCAATGGTAATTAAAAAAAAAAAAATCAATAAAAATATGAACAATGAACAGTCTTCTGGTGTGAATATTAAAAACATGTAATAATGTGAAAAATTATTTACAAGCTGGTTTTATTGCCCTGAAAACATCTAATTGCTCTTGGTCAAATTTTATAAACCTAAAACATCTTGTAATTTCATAGTGTACTAATTGTGAAGTAAAAACATGCAGTGCAGACTGGATGAAAAAAGCTGTTTGTATCAGCAACAGCACTCAAGAGTTAAGTTCCTAATGTGCATTTTCGTTTCCACAGCGTGAAAATGTTATTTTACAAAACCATATTTATGGCAGCATCTTTTGCGCTAAGTTCAAAGCTTCAAGCTCAGGGCACCTCCTTCAATCTATTTACACTTTTACTGAAAATCCAGGAGCTGAATGCATGATAGTATGTGTCATCAAGAGTGGCATCCATCTCTGAAGTTGCTCTCTGGACTCTGTGATTGTCTAATAGGAGCTCAGGAACACTAGCAAGATTATGTTGGGATCAGCTGGTACCACATTTCCTTGCTTTAATGTAAAGATTGAGAACGTGTTTGTGAGTAAAATCCTCAGAGGAAATGTGCGTATGTAAAAACTACTGTATTGATGCATTTAGTGGCAAATCATAAATCCTAAACAAAAGTGGCAAGTTTTGAGTAGTATCTGCATCTGCTATGAACATATTTTTTATTGTAGTTAAGCATGGTTTCTGTTTTGTAAATAAATATATATGCAGCATTGCCCTGTATCTAATAGTTCGTGCAAGCAAATCTCCATTTTTATGGCTGCAGTGCTTTTCTGCATTTACAGCTCACTGGCTATGATGATCATATTTAGAGGCCAAATGTGTTTGATAGTGCTAAAGGTTAATGACCAGTAACTTCAGTGTTTCTGGTTACTATTGATTTTTACCCGTGAAATAAAAATCCGTGAGAATGAGATGCTATGAACTAGCCCTGTGCCTGTGTTTGTTGCCGGAGAGCGAGCAGTCGGGACAGCAGACTGTTCAAGGGCTTCTATTTCCTGCACAGCAGAAGCGGCTGCGGCACGAGTGTTTGGTTATGTCAGCGTGGATTTGTGGAGTGCGAGGAGAGCTGCTGTGAATTGCTCAGTGTTGTTACGTGCAGGCACTTTCCAAATTTGCAATTGGAGAGCTTGATTTGCATTGCTTTTTCTGTTGATAGGGAAAAAAAAATGATTTAAATGCTTATTCAGTATGTTTATTTCATATTTTTTCTGCTGTTAGACACCTCTACCACACATAGCTTTCACCTCTGGCCCTGCTTGTCATTACTTGTCTTCTCTTGAATGCTGTGGTTATTTTTTGAAGGTTATTTTGCTTGTGTTCTGCATTTTTGTTTTGAATTGTAGCAACCCTAGCAGAACTCTTTTGCTTATGTTCTTTCCATATTCATTCTTCTATGCGTTGTGTTTGGGTTTTGTCTTTTTTTTTTTTTTTTTGAGTACTTTATTGGAACCAAAAACTTGTGTGTGACTCTTCCTGTGAGAAACTTAACGGTGTACTTTTCATTTTTCTACTTTTATGCTCATTTAACGGTACATTTTTGTATGTGGACTTTAAAAATAACATACACACTTACAGTCTGTAAGTATACCTACATTTCAGTGTAGAGTTCTCTAGCTATGCGAGACAGCAGAATTCTCCACACAAAAGTAAGATACCTCATTAGGATTCAGGAAATTCACTTGAAAGCAGTTTTATATCTATGGTTTAAAGCACCATTTTTTCTGATAGTTACAGGAGTTGTTAAATGTGGAGCAAGAACATATCAATTAGCAGGAAAGCATTCAGACTAAAATACCAATAATTAGTTGGTTGGCATTCAAGACTCTGAATTGCTGTTGGAGAATGAATTATATACGGTGCTGTAAATTTTAATTTTAGCCTATTAAGCTATAAAGCAAGAAGAATGAAATAGTCTTCGTGCTGTCTCAGTGGATAAAGTATTTAAATTAGAGTATATCCCATTCTGAAGCAGCTTACCTTCAGTACGTGTGCTAAATCCGCCTGTGCAGAGTTGCAGGTTCAGTGTTACGAACTGGGTAGGTACATGCACACGGAGAATGTGTTCAGTAACGTCAGTCTTCTCGGCATTGCTGCAAGATCCAGTAGCTGGAAATGAAGCTAGATAACTTAATTGTGAAATGCGAAAGAAGTAATAAAAGTTGAAAGTGGGGGGGGGGGGGGGTGTTAAGGTTACAAGGAGAGGTAGTATCAGTACCCCTCGGTACTTGCTTTCGGGTTCCTATAAATAGATGCCTGAAGTCAGAGCTGTTCACTTAGACAAACTCTGGTTACTCCTTTCGCAGCTCCACCGAAGACGGTCAAGCCCCCAGAGGAACACCTGAAGGCCGAAAACTTACAGCTATCCAATTCCTTCAACTACAGCGTGCTCCAACATCTTGGCCAGTTCCCACCCCTCATGCCCAACAAGCAGATCGTGGAGTCGAACAGCAACAGCCAGCAGAACGCTGGTGGGAGCAAGCCTGTCATGTCCTACGCAAGTGCTCTGCGGGCTCCGCCAAAGCCCAAACCTCCTCCTGAGCAGACAAAAAAGAATAGCGACCCTTTGTCTTTGTTTCAGGAACTTAGCCTAGGTAGTTCATCAGGTAGCAATGGCTTTTACTCCTATTTTAAATAATCAGATTATTTTTTTTAGAGAGAATTTAATTTTTATTTGTGTCAGTAGATCTAAGATAGTTGGGGCTTCACCTGTAGTTGCAAATATTCCCTTTGTTTATATTAGTAAATATATCCTCACTTAATTGCTTTGCTGCTAGACTTGCAACTAATTTTTTTAGTTATATTCCATTATTTTGCATTTTTTGATGTGGGTCGGTTTTTTGGAAGCTTTTCTGTAGGAAAACACACACACATTATTTTTTAATTTGTGTAATATTAATGATATGTTGCATTAAACTAGCAGCTGAGAGGTTACCTGTATAACTTTAAAAAAGGAAAAAAAAAAGTAAAAAGAAAAAAGTTAAAAAAAAAGTTTGTCTAAATTGTATTTAAGAAGATTGTAAGTAGCATTTACATTTATTCAATAACATTAGCATACTATGCTGGGTTTCTGTACCAGAAATGGCCAGTTAATGTAAAAATGTATGTTATTTCTGCTTAAATTCATTTAATTTTTTTTTTTAAATAAAGGTGCAGCATCTTCTAAATACTTTCAGTTTTATCAGCTTTTTTGTGAAGGGATGCTGCATTCTCAGACTTTTATAGTTTTAGATTCTGTATGATGTGGTATTGTATTTTCCATCCACTGTAGGGTAACGTAAAGGCATTCTTTGCAGACACCTATGCCATTGTTTGGAAACATTCAGATAAAAAGTATTGGTATACTTTAAAATAAACAATAAAATAAATAAAAAACAAAAAAAAATCAACAAAAAACCCAAAAAAACCTCTACATTTTATTTTTGGACAAGCTAGTAATATAAGCTTGTTTGAAAAGTTAATTTGATAGGTTTTTTAAATGAATCATGAAGCTGAAAATAAATTTTTAGGTATGTTGGTGCTTAGTAGATTTAATAACTATTTTAAAAAAATGCGTGAATTTAGTAAAATACTTTTTTGTTTGTTTGTTTAATTTTTTTTTCCACTATGCATGTGTAAATGTTTGTAATCTGGCTTTTTCCTCCCCCCTTCTCCAGTGGTATAAAGAATTGTGCCGCTTTAATTCCCCGCCTTTAAATCCCCCCCCCCCCCCCCCAGTAAAACTTTTGGTACATTATTTGATGTTTACATTAAAATGTGACATTATACAAGGAAATTAAGATATTTTGCTAACTGTTTTGTTTGAGGAACATCATTAAAGAAGAGATTTAATGTTTGTCAAAGCTGTATCCAAATTAGTCGAAATCTTTTGGGGATAAGAATGGTTACCAGGTTATTTATCTATAGGAGTTCTTCTAAGTTCTCCACAAACCTGGCCTTTTAGGAATACAAACTGAAAAAAGCCCCAAATTATGGGATATTTAAAAATTAAAGACACAAGTGTGAATGAAAACTCAGAAGATAAACTTTGCCCATAAAGATTTCTGGTCTTGCACACTGTTCATGCTTTTGCAGCTGGGGAGACAGAGAGGGGTGCTTGTGTAGTTTCTCCAGATAAAGTCGTCCTTTTACACTTGAAATAACTTTAAATCTGGGAGATATTTTACAGGGACTGAGCTGGGTGTAGTTGCAGTATTCCTCCACTTACTACACACAAGAATTAAAATGTTAGAGCTGTGTGGGGGTGATTTCAGATTTTTACAGCTGTCCATGGGACACCTTACTAATGAGCAGTTGGCTGCTGCTGTATTCAATCAGATTTTTGCTCTGGTTACAATCAGGTTTTTTTGCATTTGACTTCGTGTTTTAAGGCAGGAGTCTTTATATAATGGGGTTGATTTAAACTCAGTACACTGCAGAGGTTTGCATATAAATTTTTTTATTATAAATCTTTGCTGGTTCAGGATTCTGGAGCTTAATCTGAAAAATCTTTTCCTTCTTTTTGCTGTAAAGAAGAGCACGCATTACTCCTTAATTTATTTTCTAATGTCTATACCAAACAAAAGATGCTGGGGAAGGGGACAGCCCCTGCCAAGTTATGCTTAGCACTTCAGCGTATGGCATCAAATCAAGAGGTCCCAAAAATGAGGAGAGGCCAATTTCTGCAACCTTGAATCAAGCAAAACTACTGTTAAATGTTTTTTTGCCGAGCTGACGGCTGCAGAAATAGGTCGATGGGAAATTCAATTGCAAGGGCTGGGCGTGTGCTCAGTGTACGTTAGCCTCAGTCTTTTTATTTCAGTGGAGCCGTGCCAGTTCTCCTCAACAGAGTGCCTGGCACTGCTCGGAGAGAAGAAGAATCTGCGTGCCTGAACGTTGTAGTCTGTGAAGAGTTGGAGAGGAGATGTGCAAGACTGACAGAGGAGAGGTAGAGCTCAAATGCACTTCACTTCGCCGAGTCGGCATTGTAATTTCAGGGGTTTCAAAATCACTCATTTATATGGAGCAGTCTTTTGATTCTGTTCACCATATTTGAATATTAAACTAATAAACATCACTTGTTAATTTACTGCTATCTGTCAATTAGTCAAGGGGGAGATGGTCGCATCTCACCACATTTTGTTCTGGTTTACGCTGGCATTTTATCTACACTGAAAATATTATGGTTCAAGGAGCATTTTCTTTCTGACTTACATTTTAAATTCGGTAACTTTATGAAAATCCCTGCGGGTTTTGGTTACAGGAGTTTGAGGATGGTATGGTAGAGATCTTCTGACTATCGGCTTCAGAAACGTTTAGCATGAATCAGTTGCATTTCTTCATTTTTTTTTTTTTCCCAAAAGATTGTTTATTTTGGAGTGTTTTGTCTAGCCATTCTATGTCATGTATATAGCCCTGAGTGGGATCTTTTGTTTTTAGAGCAAATTAACGTTTATTGAAGTCATAGCTGTTTAAAAACCCCCAAAACTGTATTGTAAAGTCTTCCAGGTCTTTAATCGAACACTTACTAAAATCAAATTAAGCCTTACAGATGGCTCCAGTGGGCACTGGCGCAGGCTGTGCTGTAAATATGGAGCTGTTGCATTTACAGTGGAAATTCAGAATTATGAGTTTAGATTCTTGGTTTGTGTAAGTTGTCTCAACTCAGAAGAATTTAATGGAGGCTTGGGCATATACACTAACCGAGTATTTGTCTCCTTGACGTTTTAATGGCTAGAGTGTCACACTTGAAAGTCCAGTTAGTGCCAAATCCCGTGCTCCTTGTCCAAGAATAAACCGCTATTGTTGTCAGTGGAAAACTTAAATGACAAGATCATTCAGACCTAAATTTAGAAAGCTTGGATTTAATATCAAGAATAATTTCTGGTTTTATTCTCTTGAATTCCATTTTTTGTTGAGAAAAATCTGGATGCCTCATGGGCAGGTGTCAGTGTGGTGTTAAGAACTAGCAAAGAATTCAGAGAAAGATTTTTTAAAAATTATTTGAACGCTAAAAAATTAAACTTTTTTTTGCATTTCAAATGGAGCTTCAGCCCTTTAAAAAGCTAGGTACTGAGTGCAGCTGGTAGGATTCCCTGTGCATATATGAAGGCTGAATTCTTACAAAACTGCGGGCTTTAAGCTTGACCTGACCAGGTCGGAGAAAGAAACTGGAGGAGATGCTGCTGGCTTCCGTGAGCACAGAGGTAACTTGGAGATGGGTTCTGAAATAATGTTTATACCTTTTGATGATATAGCACGTTCTTCGGTGTCCTGGGTGAACTCTGTTACGGTGTGGGGTGTGAGCGTGCGTGCCCACAGCTTCCCTGGTTTGCCTGTGCCTCTCCTGCCCGGGGGACGCGTTGGCGGGTCTGTCCGTAGTGTCCAGCTCCTCGTAACCCAGAGCAGGTCGTGGGAACGGTGCCCCGCTCCCTTCTGCCCGGCGTACGCCTTTACCCGTTACAATACCGCTTACTACTCGAGTGGCAGCCTGCCGTGTTGCTGCAATACCACTGATAGATAGCGGTTAGGCATAAAAGCTGGGTGGTCAGAACCGAAGCCCTCGCGTCCATTTTTATCTGCTGGAAGTTGTCATCTAGTATAGTTCGTACTGCTTGACTTCATTGTATGGGCTGTGGCCTTACTGGCCTGTAGCAGTGTGTGAATGCTGCCATTGACTTTATAAACCCCGTGAGTGTTATTCGCTACTTTGATTAATTAATGTTTTGTTCCCAGATTTTTCCATTTCAGCTGTTTTTTTTTGCAGAGATCATGCTCTCCAAGCAATTCTTTTGCTATGTATGTGATATCTCTGCTGTAAGTAGCACAGGGAGCAGTGTGTTTGACCACTCAATGTTCCTTTCAGAGTGAGCTCAGGCATATCGGAATCCGCACGTTTCCAGAGCAGTAAGCCCCTGATGCTCGTGCTCTGCCTGTATCGTCATTCAGCTCGCTTCATTTGTTTTGTTGGTTTTGTAAATTCCAAGTTTTCCTAGAAAAACTGCAGACAATTAAGTTGTCAAGAGAGGTGGTGATGATCTATGGTGCCTATAAAAAAAAATTGCACATCATATTCCTTGACATGAAATATGGGCTGTTTCTGTTGGTATAGCAATACTTGTGCCAGTATCTTTTTGGTGGGTATGTCAGGGAACAAGGATTGAATCCTTCCAAGTTCTTTCATTCAAGTAAAGTAAAAGGGTTTACACCAAACACAGTGGAAACATCAGTGGGGGATTTTTTGGCAACTTTAGTTCAGAGATGTTGAAAGCTTTTACTTCATTAAGGATTAATATATGCTTCTGATAAATTACGGAAGATGCTCTGTGATCTGAATTATCCAAGACTAGTTAGAAGGTGTTGTCAGTCTGTTTTCCGTCGGACTTGCTCCCTCCTGACGGGCAAATGATTTCACGGACCGGCTGTGGAGCCGTCGCCGTGTCCGCAGTGAGACCAGCCGCCATGGGCACAAAGCCCAGCCAGAGCCTGGCTGTGCAGCCCTGCCAGCGCAGCCCTGTGCTGCTGGTTTGATTAAAAAGAAAGTAGGCCAGAAATCAGAGTTTGTTCCCTTCTCTGCATTTCTTTGTAGAAAGTGGAGGAGCGGCTCGCTGTGTGTCTACGTGCAGAGTGCGCATATGTGATGTCTGTATGGCTCGAGTTTATGTTCAGCAGCTTCACTGGAGCCAGAACGTCGATCAAGTGTGACAGAGTAAGAACAAGCTCATCCTCTACTTCAGTCAAAACAAAGACGCGTCGCTCTTTGCTTGCCCCTTGGTGATAATGGAAGGGGGAAACAGTTTGAGTAGATGCCTTTAAAACAGATCCTGTTGCTATGGGGATAATTTGTGGTACAGACCAACCTAATACTCCAATATTTAAGTTATCAAAATCATATAACATTCACAGAATCACAGGATGTTCGGGGTTGGAAGGGACCTCTGTGGGTCACCCAGTCCGACCCCCCTGCTGAAGCAGGGTCACCCAGAGCAGGCTGCACAGGACCTTGTCCAGGCGGGTCTTGAATATCTTCATGGAAGGAGAATCCACAGCCTCCCTGGGCAGGCTGTTCCAGTGCTCCGTCATCCTCAGAGTGAAGAAGTTCTTCCTCATGTTCAGCTGGAACTTCCTGTGCTTCAGTTTGTGCCTATTGCCCCTTGTCATGTCGCTGGGCACCACTGAAGAGTCTGGCCCCGTCCTCCTGACACCCACCCTTGAGATATTTATAAGCATTTATAAGGTCCCCTCTCAGCCTTCTCTTCTCCAGGCTGAACAAGCCCAGCTCCCTCAGCCTCTCCTCATAGGAGAGATGCTCCAGTCCCCTCGTCATCCTCCTAGCCCTCCAGTGGACTCTCTCCAGTAGCTCCTCATCTTTCTTGAAGTGGGGAGCCCAGAACTGGACACAGTACTCCAGATGGGGCCTCACTAGGGCAGAGCAGAGGGGAAGGAGGCACCACAGAAAGCCGCAGCTTATTTTAAGTGAAGTTTAAAATGAGGTTTATGCTATAAACAGTTTCTACACATTGCTCAGGTTCTTGGCATGCAGGCGTCTGAGTGGGGCATGCTGGATGGGGCCCAAGGGCTTGGTGTTGATCTCCACGGCCCTGCCTGGGGCAGACAGGGCGCAGCGTGGCCAAGGGCCATCTCTTGGCGTTGGTGACCTCCTGCGTTGGGTCCATGCTCCTCAAGAGCTATTGAGCCTGGGAGAGAAAGTGCCCCTCTGCATCGGGCCCAAGGATCTCATTGCAGGGGGGGCAACAACTTCCCCATCTTTTGGACCTTCTGGAAATAATTTCCACAACTGTCAAAGCAAGGTGATGGCCACAAGGAAGGGGCAGTGTGGGAAGTGATCAGTGAAAAAAAGAAGTAAGTATACCCATGCCTTCATGAACTGCATGTCGGGCTGGTCAAACACTGAGCATCGCGTATATGTTGGCACTTTTCAGGCATGGACTAAGGGAAAAGTAGGGGTTTGTACCAAGATTTCAGAATGAAGCCCTCACTGCATGCACCCATCCGTGCTCCCTTGTGTGCTATAAACCCGGCTGGCTGGCGAGCTCCTCCGGGGCCGGGTTGTTGCTGCTGCCGTGCCTCTGCAGATAAACGCTGTTCCGGGAGCTCAGCGAGGTGCTTGCTAAACAGGCAGTTTGGTTCTTCAGGGTTGCTAGTCTGGCACCTTTTCTGCACATTAAATTCGCACAACATGGCACTTAAAAATAAGGGAAGCAGATTCTCTCTGCGCCTGGCGCCTAACAGCAAATCTTACATAAACAAAAAACTTCACGTCTCCTGTTGCATCGACTCTGTGATTTACGTGGGCTTTGCAGTGCGAAGGGCAGACTTCAGCGACCAAAAGTACACAGTATCACGGCACGTGTGATGATGCCCTGGTACTTCGGCATGGATGCCCAGAGGAGGGGACAGACAGTGATGCTGGTTTACAGAGTGCAAACAGCACGTGCCCGGGGACCCGTGGCCAGAGGTGTCCTTGGGTCTGGTAGTGGCAGGACAAACGTTTGGGGTTTCATGGTCATTGGTGGTAGTTACTTGTTCTGTGCATTTATTTCCATCTTCCTCTCCCAGGTGCCTGTTTTCCACGTGGTTCTTAGGCCATTTCCCAAGCCTGTGTGTGCTCCTGTGTAGCAGCCAGGTTCCCATCCCCGTTTTGCCCCGATGACTCCCTGCCAGCAAGGATGTTTCTTGCACATTTCCATGCTACGTTCCTGAACTTTTTGTGGACGTTCCCTGCTGTGTGCTCAGCTGAGAGAATGAAAACTCAAACTGGTTACAGCTCCTCCCCCAGCATTATATTTTTCTTTTTCCTTTATGAAGGCTGATTACTTTTATTAACTCTCTCAAAACACGTTATTAGCTCCCTGGCAGAGACATTTTGGTATGGCAGAACAAAACTGCTGTAAGAGCAGTGCCTTCCCCACTGTGAATACCAATGACTAATTTAATGGACGGGTCCCTTGTCAGTGTTTCTTAATATCTGGAAAAAGAAAATTAAGTCATCCACGTGCTTCTCAGTCTTGCAGGGACCGTACGAAGCAGTGAATGATGAAGAGGCCTCAGCTTGGAGCAGACGCACAATAAAGCTCCACGAGTTTAAGAGCTTTAGGAGGCATCTGGCTCAGCTGTCTGCGTCGCTGTCTGTTGGGTGTAGGGTCTCACTGCTGTGAGCTGGGCATTTTCTCTGCCCCATGAGTAAACTGAGCACAGAGAGGCCACAAAACCTCTGGATCCAGGCCAAACACCAGCTGGGAATCTTTCCATTGCCCTCGCTGGGGCTTGGACAAAGTGGTTCAGCCCTGACACAAGCAGGAGCGCACATGGGATGGCTGAGACCTTCCACAGTCGTTCATCTGAAATACATATGTTCTTGCCCATGACTGTCACGAAGGCGAGTAAGCAGGTCTTTCACTGGGCAACAAGCTGGCCCATCTGGATAAGAAGCCACATAGAAATTACTTTGTCACAGAAGAAACATTGAGAGAGGGATGGTGATTCGGAGAAGGTGTGAGCAAAGGGGTTCCCTGGGCCACTGGTCTGCATGAAGTAATGAACATAGACCCGTGTCCCCAAACCTCGCTTATCTCAACCCATTGTGTGTCCAAGGTGAGGTCATTTTGATGATGATGGCTGAGCTGGGAATGCCTTTGTGCCTGCCAGCTGCTTTGCTTAGGTTAATCTGCGTGGCATGTGTTTGGGTACCCCAACCGGGGGCCAGCCACCGCGGCGGTCACACCAACTACTTTCTCTTCTGTTGTTGTCACTTGCGAAGAATCTCCCTAGAAACTAGCCTCTGTTTTCCTGAACAATGAAAATGCAAATGAAGAATGTCAGCTCAGTACCCAAAAATAAGATTTCAAAACCATTTAGCATTTCACAGTGGTTCAGTGACAACTTGAAGACTTGCAGTTGTCTCTCACGATGAGAGACAGGCAGAGCTCATGCTCAGATCTGAGCACCAGTGAATGCTTTATCCCCAAACTTTATAATATATGTGTGTGTTATTTGTAGTGCTTTTCAACTTCAAAGAGCTAGAAAACTATTAATGCAACTTCACAAAAGGCTGTTGTTCTCGCTGCCACTCTACTGGTGGGAAAATGGAGATGTGGCGAAGCCTGGCTGGGGGCTGCTGGGGCTCCGTGCACCCAGAGAGGGTCTGGCCGATGGCAGGGCTGCGGGCAGCCCCTCGTGCCAGCACGAAATGCCTGGGTGAATTCTTGAAATGTCTGAACGTGTCATGATTTCAGAGCTCTTCAAATTGATCAGGAATTTCCTGGTCTGAATTCTGTTTTTCATTAGAGTTGTGGACAGGTAAGTGCAGAAGGAAGTACACTTTGGTTTCCTTTTCTCCTGCTTTGTAAATTCTTGGGTGAAAAAACTGCAGCTTAAATACTTTTTCCTACTTGGGGGAAAAATGGAGAAATGCTGAGCAGATTCTGAAAACTGAACTTTTTTTTTTTTTTTTTAAAGAAAGGACCCCCACCCACCTCTTGGTGCTGGGGGACCGTGATGGTGAGAAGGGTTCAGCCGGAGGGGCTGGGTGAGCCTCTGGGCCTGGGGAATCCCAGTCCCCCCCAGTTTTCCCCAGTGCTGCATTCGGCCACGGCAGAGCCCTGTGGGGGCTCTGCAATGCAACCAGCCCCCGCAGCATCCCCCATCAGCCGTGCCGTGGGCACACGTTTCTTCAAGCGTGCATAAACAACGATGCACTTCTGTAGTGTTTTTGCAGCTAATTCTCCCGGGTGTTTCACTCCAAGTCCTTTCCTTGGCAGCTACCTTGAAGGATTTTTCCTAAAATGTGGTTTTGTATACGTATGCAGCGAGCAAAGCACAGTATTCTTAAAAAGCCCATTCACGAGGAGCAAATGAGAGCTCCGTACAGTAAATACCATCCAGAATTACACCGTCACTCTGGACCTAGCAGAATTTGATGGGCCAAGTGATTCATCCATCAAAATCATTTTCCAGAAAATCATGCTACTGGAAGATTACGCTTTTTATGAAAGGGAACATATCGCTCCATGCTCAGTACTTCTTGGCTTTGCTATCAAAGTTGAAGCAGAACAAAAACTACATCTTGCCATATGTTTTGTTCTTAATTCAAAAGACTGGAACTGCAGGGTGGGAAGTTGTAGAAGAAATTTTTATCCCAATGCTACGCAAAGTTATGGGTTGGTTTGGGTTGGTTTTCTTTTTTCCAAATTTGAACAGTTTAATAGAATAGTGTAAGGATCTCAAGCTTATTTCAGAGTGGTGAGCTGACCCTTCTCGGGGAGGTAGAGGAGTATGGCATGAATGGGGAGACGGGCTCCCCACGGAGCTGGAATTTCTCAGTATATCTCTCTGACAAAGTGAGGTGTAAAAGCCCCATATCTCTCATGGATTGGCTCTTTAACCCTAACTGCACCAAACGCCTTCTCCCTAAGCAAGCCGTCTTCCCTGGGGCAGGAGCTGTCTCACACGCAGATTTTCCCCCAGCTGCATCAGCCCAAGGCATCCCCAGAACGGCACAGAGCAGCGCCATTCTCCCACGACCCACGCAGGTGCTGAATGCTCTTCCTGCTTTCTTAAAAAAAAAAAAAGGAAAAGAAGAAACAAAGCAATAATTACAGTTGAACATGCCTTGGTTAAGTCATGGCTTAGTTAATGGAGTGCACGTTATATAGTGAGACCCAGACATTTTAAAAAATACAAATCTTTCCAAAACACTTTGTGGCTTTTTTCATGGGTGCTGGGAACCTCAGTGCTCCGGTTCCGCATCCATGCAGGTCTCCCAGGGGTTCTGGGGGAAGCGGGGCAGCGCGATCAGGAGGAGGGCGATGCCGCAGATGAAGAGCAGGACGAAGGAGGCGCAGGCACAGGCGAAGGACCAGGAGTAACTGTACTCAATCCAGACTGTCTCCTCGCTGTCAATCATCCTCTTCACGGATTGTCTCATCACTTCAACAGAGATGATGATGCAGAGACCTGAAAGAAGGCAGGAGCAGTGGGTTGAATAACCAGCTGTCAGTTTTTCATCCTTAATTAACCACCTCATCTGTCTTTTTGCATACAGGAGTTGCAGTGAGATTCACAGGTGAGTCATTGTCTTCAAGGTTTGACAGAACCAATGCTCCCAACTGCCGAGAGCTCTGCTGTAACCCAGGCCACCCAAGTCAGCTGGTGACTTGTTGAGTGTGATCTTTTAGGCGGGCTTGGCTGGGAAGCTCAAAGCGGTGGAGGAATAATTGCATTATCTAGGGAGCTTTTCCAAAGGTTGAATAAGAGTTTTACTGAGGTGACAATTTGCACCTCTGTCTTTCAGTCATTGTGGCATGTCAGGGAGTTAGTAGCTCACGTAAAAATGCAGTCTTCATGTTTCTGGGAGACGGCTGTGTATTTTGGGCCTGGATCAGCTGTGTCTTTGGTTTGAGTCTTAATGAATATAATGATATAGAATAGTGTATATCCCTGCTTTAGACTGGGGCCAGCACTGAATATGCTAGAAATGCCCCTTTTAAAGGTAGCTGGAGAAAATACAGCCATGCTGCTGGGTAATGCTGGCTCTGCAGGACATTGTCAGAGCCCATCAGCTGGAGCACAACACAGGGACTGGTAGTCTGACTGTGGCCAGGAAGAAAACACCACTTTCAGGGCGTTTTTAGAGGTGTCTCCATCCTTCCAGGATCTGTCTAAGTTTCTCTGCATTGTCCTAGGAAGCGAGTGGAAGCCTGGGAGCACCGAGCCTCCTACCTGCGAAGGTGTAGAACATGGATGCTGGCTTCAGCAGGTAATCCCTCTTCTTCCCGAAGGATAAGAGGACGCAGATTGTTCCGATGATTGCAAAGCCGACGCTGAAGATGGCAATGGCTGCAGCTGAAATGCTATATTCTGCCAAAGCAAAACAAACACCAAAAATGCAAATGTATGCAAATTTTGAGCATGTTTCCATCACCTGTTGTGACTTTGCAGTAGGTCGCTCTGAGAAACATGAATCCTCCCACTGCTGTGGAGAGGTGGCTCTGATGAACTGAGCATTTTCCTCAAATAAAAGCAGGGGCAAGTATTGGCCGTGTATCTTTTGAACGCAAAGGGTATAAAGCCAGAGCAGGAGGGGGAAGCTCGCTCTGAACGCTTACTGAAAGAGCAAAGGGCACTTGTATTGGTCCGATGAAGCTCTGGGCTGGAATTGTTTTAGCTCTGCTGCATAGATGTTATTGTTGAAGCCTTACTGGGCTCCCCGCTCTCATTTCTTCCATCACTCCACACTCTGCTCTTAGAGTAAATAGACAGCTCTTGCTATTTTTATTCCAGATCTGTATTGTGGAGCCCCGACAAGGCCCCCGTGCATGGTGCCTGTGTTGGACCGATGCAGAAAGACAGCTGTCCGCTCCGTAGGGCTCGAAACCCGAGCAGGCAACGCAGGCAGGAGGCCAGAGGTGAAGCGTTTGCACAGCATCTTCCCCCCTCCCCACCCCTTCAGACCATGATTTCCAGCTCTGAACACCCAGCTTCTGCAGGGCATAGGACTAAACCCTCCGTAAAATGTCCTGGTTTTTCCTAAGCCGGCTAAGATGTGCGCTGGGCACTTTCCCCGGCCAAAGCACTCTTCAGTGTCTGAATGGAGGGGAAGAATTGCTAATTGAATAATTCAGGCCTTCATTTACATATTGCATCTGTTTTCAGGTTAGTTTAATATTTAACATATGTAGCCATGCGTGAACATCACAGTGCCTGATGATATTTGCCTTTCAAGCCATTAAAAAAAAAATATCTCCCAGGCAAAATCGTGAAGAATTTTTTTGCCTGTTACTAATTAGCTCCCATCACATCAGAGCAATTTCTGTGAAAAGGAACAGCAGATCGCTCTTTGTTCTGTTGCTTTTCATACCAGTGTTTTATTATAATTTTGTTAATGTTTCTCTTTACTACGTGCTAGAACTGCCTGAAAGAGTTCGTTTCGATGTAAAATATTTTGCTGTGGCTTAAGCTTTTTACTTCAAAGTAAAGAAGTTCTTCCTGATTTTTTTCTGAAATTACTAAGAAGGCATTGGGTACATTTTTAACATCGAATGGCTGAAACTGATAGTATATAGATGAGCAAAAGCCGATAGCTCAGATATATCCTCTTCTATCCTCTTAAAATTCCCAGTCTTCCCTGTCTCAGGAAACTGCTTGGTTAGAAACCCGGTGTGCAGAGTTTTTCACCTTTATCGTTTCCACTGGAAGCAAAGCAGATTGTTTAATTTGTGTCATGTAATCATCAGCTCATTTACTCCACAGCAAAATATGTCATGTGGCAAACCAGAAAGGAATTTGTCCGTAATGAGAGGGCAAGAAAGAGAGAGGAGCACGTTAGAAGAGTGCTAAAAATATTTTGCTTTATCAAGGACTTATTAGAAATGTGGAATCTGTCTGTGAAAGACCGTTTTCAGAACCCATGCTCTGTAAACACTGACCGTGCGTGTCTGTGTAGGATCTCTGTTCCTTCCTTCCGTTGATCACTCTAGTTTTTACATGACTTTCATATAAAATCAATATGAAGCAAAAAATTCCTAATGGTCTTCACAGTGTGTCTGTACTACTTTTCAGGGTCAAGACTCTGCTCGGGGTATGATTTATTAATTTAGATTTTATTAATGTCTTCTTCCTTCCATGGCAAAGGCTCAGAGTGTTGCAGATAGTGCCAGCATTGTAAAGTAGTTTTTATACGGAAAATACTTTTTGCAGTTTTCATATGCATTGACATTTATATATATTTGTGGGATAACTCTGACTAAAATCACACTTATGAGTGTGATGATATATAAAAATTATTCTTCCCAGGAAGCTGGCATTTGACCTTATTCAGAGCATTTTTTTCACATTTTCCCCAGCTGACGGTATCTGATAGAAACTCCTCTACTGCTTTCAGTGGAACGAGGATTGAACCCTTATTTTGCGGACCCTTTTACCTTAGATCTTGTGTGCACCTTTGTTAGGAAAATACTTTTTGGGATCATTCTTACCTTTCTGGGTGGTTACTTCAAATATCTCCGAGCTCTGTCCTGGTGTGAAGTGCTTGAAGTAGGAGCAGTTGTGTTCTGAAAGAGAAAAGTAAATTTAGTGTGCTTGGTAATCTCTGATAAAATGTAGTAAAATTGAATTTCCTTTTTATTGATGTATCAAACTTGCAATGTTTTTAAGGTTCCCCACCCTTGGTAGCACAGAGAAGTTGGAGTTGGATCTGTTTTGTTTGGGAGCAGATGAGTGGCCCGCACATGCCAGGCCATCGGTTCCAGCATGGGCAAGGCTGAAGCCCCCTCTGATACCTTTTGTGGGCTGCTCTCTTGGAGTGCTTTTCATGCTGCTTGCTCATCTATTTGTGCCCGCATCTCAGCTCACCTCCCCTCGCCACTGCCAGCCCACTCCGTAGTGGCATCACCCTGTCAGCAGTTGGAGTGTCACCACTCCTGGGGTGAGCCTGGACTCCAGAAAGGGAAGATGGAGTGTTCTCACCCACCTTCTCCCCCGCGACTCTTCCCTCCTCCAGCTCATAGACCTGGCAGGGGAGCAGCCCAGGGGACTTTGCTGCATGGGTGGGGGATGTCACCATGCCATGGGGGTCTCAGAGATGAGATTCCTACAATGCAGCAAAGCACATGGTGTTTTACTACTATAGGGACACCAACTTTTTTCTGTCTGTCAGTATAAAACCAAAAGCTATCTGAAGCTGCAGACAGTTGTCCAGGGAAGGGAAGGCTGATGAAAGCCGTATGAGTCATGGGCAAAGAAGCTCTCGTGCGGCCTGGCTTTACTGAAGTTCGCTCTCACCAGAGCAGTCTATTAAGTTGGTTTGTTAAGATAGCAGTTAGATAGCGGGAGCTTTATGAAGTTCCTCTATCTGGGCTTAACGTGAGCATGCTGCCAGGTAAGTGGGATATTTATAGAGCGGTTATGAAGTGAACAAGGATCAAGATTGTGTGGCAGGGGGACAGTGGGAGGAGGGAAGTTGGTAGCTGAGTCTCGCAGTGGCCACGATGTTGTTTCATAGTCAGCCAGTGAAGCGGTGTCATTGCTGTTAGTAGAGACAGGGGAGGCTTTCAGTGTCTCAGCGCGATGGGGAAGGGTCCGGTGAGGACCTGCTGACTTGAAGGTTTGGCAGCAGCAGAGTTAGGGTAGAGGGTGTTCTCGCTATTTATAACTGATTTAATTGAAGATTTGAAGGGGCGCGGAGCTGGGAGAACAGTTGCTGGCCAAGAATTTGGCTGGAAGGGTGCAATTGCGGAGACGCATTGAGCAGAGCCAGCTCTGATTGCATTATTCTGCTGAGCTGGGCTGGAGAAGACATGCTCAGCACCTGCTCCAGCACCCCTCCTGCACCCTGGGTTGGGATCTCATCAGACCGGGAAATCACGCCAAGACTGCATGAAATACAGGCACGGCTGTGGCAAGGGGCCGCTTGGTTAACACCAGCATCTCTTGTCCATTAAATAAAAGCTTCCAGGAGATGCTGGGAGAAAGTCTGGGAGGACTTTGTGGTCCTCTCCGACATCCAGACTGGGACAAGCTGCCTCAGCGCAGGTCGTGGGGTAAAGCCTGAGCCAGGTCCCAGGTGCAGAACCACGCAGGGTTTCTGCCTGGGGGCACATATTGCGTTTCAGGGGTTATTTACAGCATTAATTTCTAGTGACAAGAAGATACCAGCATACTGTATGTCACCTATTGGTTCTTGTGTTCTTTTTCTGTCACATAAGTGGCAGATGTTGGAGTTAGTGATTCAAAGAGGATTTATTTTCTCTCTTCCAGGTGACAAGCAACTTTAAAGCAGCATTTTTGGGCCCATTAGTAGAAGATTCCTTTGAGATGCTCTTATCTACTTAATTTTATAAGCTGACTTTTATTTCATCTGCAGCTTCTCTTTGCTGGAGACTTGGTTAATGTTCTGCTCTGGCATCTCCTGATCTGTTCTTTATTATCCTTGCAAACGACTGGAGGAAACATATTTGAACTCAGACCTCTAAGACTGAAATTGCAAATTTTGAGCCCCAGAGCGAAGGTCATGTGCCTCTGCCAGCGACCGAGAGGTGGCTGAGGCTGAGCATCCAGTCTGCTGATCCCAGTTTGGGGATTCTTTGGCTCCTGTATGAGGGGAGGGCGATGGAATGAAACTGGAACACTTTATTTTGGATTGTTTAGTTTGGCTTTTAACTAATTCTCTGAAAAGCCTGAACTCAAAGGAGTGCCCAGGCGTGTTGACTGTACAAAGCCCAAGGTGAAGCCATCCAGGCATGGTGCGATGGGGGACATAGCACCGCTTCGTGTCCTTTGCAGGTGAACCAAGCCAGCCCTGTCTACCCTCCAGTGCGTGAAGGCTCAGCAGAGGGGGAGCACACAATACTTTCTTTTAGAGATGGACTTGTCTGCAGGAAAGGGAGCTGCCTTTGCTTTTGTGGCTTATAGCAAATCCCTGCCAAGCTACGATAACTGGGGTTATCACAGAAGTGGGTTAGCTCCAGGGAGGTGTTTTTGGAAAATGCATTTATTGTGGGAAAATATAGCTAGATTTTTTTTGGTGAAATGATATATTGGCTTCAGTTTAAAGATGCTTTGGTGCTCTGCTGAGCTGGAATATCTGTTTCAGCGAGGCTCCCTGTTATTCAAGAGAACTGAGGCACTTCAGCGCCTCTCTGGTGCCATCAACAAATAAGAGAAAAGCCCATTTGTGTCACACCACATTTACATAATGGATAGGATTTGAAATGGGTTTTGTAATGGATGAAAACTGCGTGGCAGTCTTTGTTTCTCTCCACCCCTAATCACATTATCTCTGCCACGAGGTCACCTCAGTGTGCTGACCGGATCACTCCAGGGGCTCTGTGGTCGTTAAGGCTCACATGAACTTCAGGGTTGTAACACGTGGTTTATCACGCAGTGTCCTCCCCCTTCCAGGTCACCCACCCCTACAGCTCTCCTGGCCCCTTCCCTTCAGATCCACCATTCCTGGATGACCGCTGTGTGGGAGCAAATGGGCCAACTCATCTTCTCTCTGTCCACGCAGAGCCACCCTCTCCTGCCACGCACCACCATGGGGCTGGACACCAGCTGCCCCAGCCATGGGATGCAACAGAAGTGCAACCCCACCGCACTGTGGTTGAACCTTGGGGGCCTGAAGTGTGGACACCTTATGGGGGAAGAAAGGGCCGAAAGGCCATGAGGTGTTTGGGCTGTGCAGAGCTTCAGGTTGGCAGCTGTCACCCACGAGCGTTGGAGTGACGGGCTGGGAAGGGGCTGGAGCCCACCTTGCTCATGAGCCACAGATGGACACTAGCATGTGGGGTTTTGGGGCAGGCTGGATGGTTAGAAAAACGTGGATTTCAATGTGAGGTTTCCGCTTGTGTTAAGTTTGGGAGACAGGACCCGCTGCTGTGATTCAAAGGAGCTGTTAAGGTGAGGGCTGAGCGGTGGAGGCGGCCAGACTGACCTGGCCAACACGCACTGAGTTCTGGAGATGGTAACTCCAAACAGTTTAATTTCATACCAGTGTTGCAGAGTGAGTCTCTTATACGGACACAGGCAACAAGACAGCCCTGCTGATAACCCGTTCGCTCGAGCACTTTCCCTCTGCAGTTGCTTGAACTCGGGTTCCCGTGTTGACGAGGAGCGCTTTGACCTGCTGGCAGCAGGCGCAGGCTGCAGAGCATCCCCGCTGCTGCCCCGTGTGCAGACACACAAGAGCCCGCTCTGCAGGACAACACCTACACTGGAGCTACCGGCAGTGCCGGCGAACTCAGTTTACAGACGGTAGTAAACTGCCCCGGTGCCCACTGACCAACGTTAAAAATGTCTCAGTATTAATCTGAATTTGTCCGGTTTTAACAGCCATCTGCCTGATCCTTTTGTTTCTTACAGCAGGATGCTGAACCCTTTCCAATTTGTCAACATCCTTGGAAGAGCACTGTAAAATTTTAAAGCTCTGCCTAAATCACAGCCCTGCGCTGTGGACTGTGAGCCAAGTCATCCTCCCCATTTTGCACTGCGCTGAGCTCAAAGCCTAATAAATAATGATGTTAACCGTGCCATCCGTTTCCTCCTCGGGGAGCGACTGGTAAATGGTTATTAATGCAGTGATAAATTCTTATGTTTCTTTTCCAGTCCTGGCAGTAATGTCTAGTTATGTCTCATGATTTTCAGGAAAACCAGTGCCCACGTCTGCTCTCTTACTGCACGTTTGTTCATTCACATTTTCTCGACTGCGGCAGGTTTCACAACCCCGGTGCTTCCCTGCCGACATCTCTTCCCAGAAGTGTGAAATCAATCTAATGCCAGCCGTGCGGACGCAGCATCGTTTAGCAGCCCGCATCCGTGGGGGCTGTGTTCTCCCCCTCCACCCCACGCCGTGTTCCCTGCCCGAGTAAAATGGGGATTAAAATATTTATGTTAGAATTGAGGTGGGCATCTTGCCCTTTGAAACCTCAGATGCTGATTATGACTCAGGATGTCATCCGAATTCCCAAATATCTTTAAAAACTGGAAAACCACCTCGGGGGTGGGGTGGGTGGCTCAGCCCCTCCATCGTCACCAGGGTGTTCGCTGTGCCCAGCGGAACGGCAGCGCTGGGACGGGATTCAACGCCCGCGCGAGCACATGCTGGTGTCTGTCAAAGACCGTGGCTGCTTTCATGCTGCCCTGCCTGTGAATCTGCTTTTTCAGACAGCTGGATATTTATGAGTTTTATATTTACCCCGCAGCTGTGCAATTTTGGTGTTTATCCACCACTTTCTATTGTTTTTCCTTTTGTGGGAGTTTTCCTCTGCATGCGAGGAAAGGCGTACAGTGAGGAATAGGTTTCTAGGCACATGAGTACCTTTGCGAGAGACATTAAGCATACGGATGACACACTCCCAAATTTGGTTAGAGGCAGATCCAAATGCTGAGGCTGAGCTCCTCTCTTCAGATATGTAATTTGGCCAAAGAGATAAAGAATTGCAGTAATACAGGGGATATACAGTAAGCCCAGGCAGTAAGATTTTTCACAGGAAATTTTCAAGTATGTGTTAACACATATATTTGATTTCAAGCAGCGAGTCTAACATGAAGGCAATCCTGTTATTTCTGTTCTGGAAAGCATCCAGTACCCTATGAGCCTTCTAAAAAAGCAGCGTAGCTCGGTCACGGAGGGAGTGTATTAGTGCATGCGGCGCGAATGTTGCTGACTTTGCGATCAGCAAAAACATAATGAGCTCCTTTTACCATGGGAATGGAAAGGTCTTCCCGGAAAGCAGCCGTGTCCGCTCCCCCACCGCCCTCCCTGTCGACTGCACTGGAGGAACCCGTGATGGAGACGCGTGTGAGACCAGGCTGTCTCCGCTGAGAGGTGAGGAGGCTCAGAAAGTCACTGAGAAATGGCTTCGAATGCAGTTTATGGCTTTTTTTTGGAAGCTGGCAAAACAAACTGCAGGGTGTTCTTCCTCTCTGTCCTGAGAAACGGTTATTATTGAAATGGTTTAGAGATAACCTAATGCCTGCCTTGAACAGGCTGTTCCTTCGTAGCTATATGGATATGGAAATCCTAAAGACCCGGCTCCATATGGTGGACCCATAAATTCTCTTTCTTGCCCGCTGCCGTCAGTGTGGCTAGGTGCTGTGGAACCCTTGGCTGATGTCAGCAGAACTTCCTCCAGCCCAGTTTCCCACTGTGATTTCCACCATGTCTGCTCCTCCTCCCCTTCTCCCCACCACTGCCGTTGTTGCACAGGAGACTCAAATATGGTCACAAAGAGATGTGCAAGGCAGCATAGCACACATGGACGGCAAGAGGGGTGAAACCGAGGTGTGTTTGCCGACCAGCATGAAAACAGCCCCATGCAGCCCCATGCTGAATTACGTGCCACGGGAACGCGGACCCTATTTTCCTTCTGCCATGTCCTGCAACCTCTCAAGCAAAGCCTGGCATGACCGCCTGGTGCTTTCTCCCGTGCGTCAGTGGGTGGTCACGTACCTCCTGGCAGGCTTATCGGCCCACAGCCCTTCTCTTTGGGACCTTGCTCCTGCATAAAAATCCGCTTTGTACAGAGTCGCCATAGCCCGAAATGAGCCGCTTCGCAGGTGGCGTTGTACTCCTCCACTTTGGGGCTCAGCACGGCCCAGTGGTCAGTCACTACGGCTGCAAACAGGAGCGAGACGCCAACCAGGATCACGGAGAACGTCAGCCGGACCTTCAGGGGTTTGCTCTCGTCCATCCCGGTCCGGCCCGGTGCTCCCGGCGGAGCGCGGCGGGGGATTCGCGAGGGCTCCCGGAAACCCA